AAAAAAACTAAGATCATGGCCACTGGTCCCATCTCATCCTGGCAAATAGAAGGGGAAGATATGGAGGCAGTGACAGATTTTACCTTCTTGGGCTCCATAATCACTGCAGATGGAGGCAGCAGCCACGAAATTAAAAGACGCCTGCTTCTTGGGAGGAAAGCGATGACAAACCTTGACAGCATCTTAAAAAGCAGAGATATCACCTTGCCAACAAAAGTCCGAATAGTCAAAGCTATGGTTTTTCCTGTAGTGATGTATGGAAGTGAGAGCTGGACCATAAAGAAAGCTGAAGAATTGATGCCTTTGAATTGTGGTGCTGGAGGAGACTCTTGAGAGTCCCCTGGACTGCAAGGAGAACAAACCTATCAATTCTAAAGGAAATCAACCCTGAGTGCTCACTGGAAGGACAGATCCTGAAGCTGAGGCTCCAATACTTTGGCCATCTCATGAGAAGAGAGGACTCCCTGGAAAAGACCTTAATGTTGGGAAAGTGTGAAGGCAAGAGGAGAAGGGGACGACAGAGGATGAGATGGTTGGACAGTGTCACCGAAGCAATCAACATGAATCTGACACAACTCCGGGAGGCAGTGGAAGATAGGAGGGCCTGGTGTGCTCTGGTCCATGGGGTCACGAAGAATTGGACACGACTAAACGACGATGAAACCATAAGACTGAAAGTCATGCTACCAGAGCATGGTGGAGGAGCATGCAGGCGGATGCTCATTACTGATGGTCTTTTTAGCTTTTTAGAATGTGGTTCTGAACCAGTTCAGTAACTCCCTTGGATTTTGTCTTGCTGTTTGGCTTCTAATAGTGAATAGGTTTATTCACAAAGATGTTACAACAAGGCGATGTAGATAAGCAGCACAGTTTGGTAACTTCTAAATTATGTATGCAAGAACTTCTAATCTCAGTGTTTCATTAGTTAAATAAAAGTGACAGAATTCTCTGTCCAGCAGTAATATTGTGCATGCACAAGGCCCACTGTACTAGCAGATACACATTTTTAAAGTTACCACAAGAACAATATTATGTAAAAGGTGGGTTGTATGAACAGTTGCTCAGTGCTATAATCCTATGCAAGTGCAGCAAAGGGAATTTTCATTTGCCTAGGATTAAGTTGAGTTTTGGTCCGAACACTATGAATTCTGAAAGTTTTGAGAACACATCTGTTGTGTTACTTGGAAATTGTACAGACTAAAAAGACAGAATTCAGCTGCATAGTGGCCTGTTCTTTTTTAGACTGACAGTGCATGAATCAGTTTTGATTTATCAAGATGAATTACAAGGTACAGTACTGTAAAAGGTAAAGGTTCTGCTTGACAATTTGTCCAGTCGTGTCCGACTCTAGGCGGCGGTGCTCATCTCCATTTCCAACCCATAGAGCTAGAGTTTGTCTGCAGACAATCCTCCGTGGTCACGTGGCCAGCGTGACTAGACACGGAACGACATTTACCTTCCCACCCAGGTGGTACCTATTTATCTACTCGCATTTTTATATGCTTTTGAACTGGTAGGTTGGCAAGAGCTGGGACAAGCAACGGGGGCTCACTCAGTTGCGTGGATTCGATCTTACGACTGCTAGTCTTCTGACCTTGCAGCACAGAGGCTTCTGCGGTTTAGCCCACGGCGCCACCATACTAATCTATGAATTTTAAATTGTTTTTTGCTAAAACATTCCACATCTTCCTTTAACAGTGCTTCTCAGATACTTGAGGAATTTCCTGAGCAATATTATAAATGGTATGTAGTTGCCATTTTTGATCAATTTGTGTTTAAAGTATTACCAGGATCTTTCCAAGTTTATGTTATTTTTTTTCCATTGGATTTCAGCTTTACAGGTCTGTTCAAAGCAAAATTAGGTCTCCTTGGCAACAGTGAGGATGATGACTATTTGATTGCGTTCCTTCTAAAAGTGAGTTTCTTTCTTCAGTTAAATATTTGAATTGTATTTTGACAAAGTACCCAAAGCTAACTCGTAACTCTGACAATATTTATTAGCTCATGGAAGATACAGAGGCAGACTTCACAATGACCTTTCGACATCTCAGTGAGATTTCACAAGACCAGCTGAAGGACCTCAGCATTCCTCAGGTACTGAGGTTTGTATTTGATAATATGTGAATTGTCTTTACATGACAATAACATTGAGAGAGATTCATCTTATTTCCTATAAGTTTAAATTGCAAAAGTAGGACTGCTTGCACACTAACATTGAAATTATAGGCGGAACGGGTTGGATACTGGGTCTTCTCTGTTTGTTTTTAGAAGAAAAGGATGGCTGACTTTAGTCCATCAGCTTGCCAGCTCTGTTGTGGATCTTTTCCCATCTCTGTTTCCATGGCGACAAAGCATGCAGGAATCTGACAGATTTCCAAGACCAGCTCAGAATTTGGGGTGGGGTGGGGGAGAGTTACTTGCATTACAAGCAACCGCTTGACAACCATTACAAAAATTATATGGTTTTGAGAGCATATTTTTGTTAACCCACCTTGATTCCATAAAGTGATACCCCTCTCCATTGAGAAGATGAGCTTGAATTGATCCCTTATTTATATATTTCTTCATGTATTTGTTTCCTGTATCAGAAGACTGAAAAGGTTACCAATAATCAAATAATTTAAAACTATGTACAGTTTAGAACTGTGTTAAATTATTCAAAACAGGTTAAAACAGTGAGAAAGCATGTACACTATTCCAGACTCAGCAGCCATGATCCTATTGTCCTTTGATGAAGTAATGAGACTGACTTCACTCATTAGGCCAGTGTCAGCACCATATGGGCCTCCGTGGAGAGGCCAGTCTACAACTATGTGGAAATGTGGGAAAGAAAGCCCTTTCCCACATTTCCACATAGTATATTGTTCTCTCTGATAGGACACATCAGAGGGCCTGTCCAGCAGTGGTGCCTCGCTTAACGAGCGTATCGTTTAACGACAAATCCACATAACGATGCATTTTTTGCGATCGCTAATGCGGTCGCATTGCAATGTTTTAATAGGCAAAACACCGCATTGCGATGTTTTGGGAACAGCTGATTGGTGGTTCCAAAATGGCCGCCGGGTCAACAAAATGGCCACCCACAGCATTTTTGCGCCCTGCCCTTGCTTACCGGGTGGCGAAAATGGTGGCCGGATGGAGGATTCCCCGCATAGCGGTGAGTTTTTCCCCAATAGGAACGCACTAAACGGAGTTTAATGCGTTCCTATGGGGTTCCCCCCCTCATAGCAACGAATCCAGATAGCGACGTTAATCCTGGAATGGATTAACATTGCTATGTGGGGCACCACTGTATTCATGTTCAGGCAGTGGTGTACCCTGTCTCAGTTCAGGTGGCCTCGTCCACAGGCGTGCATACATTCACACCAATGCCAGATAGAATCTTCAGGCATTCTTACTATGAGCAAGAATAAGATAGCTTCCTGCTTTTTGAAAACCCACCGTTTTTTGGCCACATGGGTATTTTGGTACCTTTGTGGGACAGTTCGGTTTTATGTAGTCCAAACAGTCTTCTGCAGAGATTGAAACAGCTACCTTTCTGGACCACATCTTTGAGTATCGTTCAGCTAGTATGGCATGGCTAACTCTAACCATTATATAATACATTTCTCATGCTTATATCCATCACACCTCACCATAAAGTGCATAGCTTAAGTAGGAAAGGATATGGTGTTGCGTACAACATCCTTTGAGCTTCCAAGACACACTCCCAGAATTCTCTAGGCAATATAGTGATGCTCTGTGTATACAGAGTGTGTAGACTCACATAAGTCTGGCATTACGTCAGTACCTTAAGATTGCATCTAGACATAGCCCGGCATGTTTGCTATCAGCAAGACAGAGTATTTTATTTATATGTTTTGTTTGAGCAGTTGAACAAAATCACTGTTGTCAGTAGCAGCCAAGAAGGACTGTTTAATTTAAAGAAAACCACAAGCGTGGGGCTGAGTCCCAAATGTGTTTTCAGATGCCAGATGTAATATCCTGCACTGCTAAAACGTTCCTACCTCTTGTGTGCAAACAATTTGCCAGTGGCAAGTTATGTTCTCCCGTAGATTGTTCTTATTTCTTTCCAGGGAAAATCAATGGCCAAAATCCAGAGCAATGTTGAAAGAATCATAAATAAACCCATCTTCTATGCAGGAAATACTATTTCTGCCAAGATGAGCTGTTTTTCCACTTGAATAGATCTACAACAGACAATAGATCTACAGGCCGGCTTCCAAATCCTTGTTTCTTATTTTGAGAAAATACAGTATTTTCACTATTATGTGTGTGGTTATGTTGGAGACACAGACCAGTTTCAAGCTTGCTTAAGTAGGTTTGACATTTATGTTTGCAGAGTGCAGCAGCCTGTAGTACAGAGATTGTGACATTTGGGAAGAAGTTATCACTCTAAAGGCAAGCAAAAAAAGAAATTTCCCAATTTAATTTCTTATTTCTTAAGAAAACCCATTAAGAATAGTTTGATCAGTATCCACTGATTCACTGGTCCACGGACTAAAAATATTTAAAATATTAAATGAAAAATTCCAATACAGTATATCTTTATGATGGAGTTACCAGAACTGGCCACTAGGGAGAGCCAGAGACCATGCTCTGTATTTTTCAGCATCTGCTGGAAGGCTTGGAACCCATCTCCCATGGATATGGGGAGATGTCTTGCTGTACACACCACAGAGGAAGAAAGAGCGGGGAGAGAGAAGGGAGAATCACTAAGCTCGATTATACAAAGCCCTAGAGCTGCCTGTTGTATATACAGGTCTCTTTCTCTCTGTCTCAGTGAGATGGAGAAAGAAGTACAGTAGGCAGTAATCTGAGGTAGAGAACGAAGTAAGCATGAGTACTTATCTGCATGGAGACCTGGAAAAGAAAAGGGGGAAAACACTGTTTGCCTAACTCTGCGGCTTCTGATCCCTTGCTACCGTATTTTGCTACTCTATATAACATGTAGCAAATTGTCAGCTGTAGGTTATCTATCAGTTAAGCAAGGGAGACTGCTTCAATTTTGCTACTCTATATAACATGCAGCAAATCGTCAGCCGTAAGGTTTATACTGATTTCAATCTATCAGTTAAGCAAGGGAGACTGCTTCTCTTTCTCCATATCCATTTCATATCGGAAAAAGTAATTGTTTTCCTACCATCCATAAACATTGATAACTATTTTCAAGGGAACTGGCAGCCCTTCCTGGAACAGTGAAATACAGTACTATTCTTTCTGGACAAAGGCAGATGGAAACCATATATAGTTATAAAAGTCATGGTTTTCCCTTCATGAGCCTGCCTATGGTAATTTCTGAGACCAAGGTCCTGTACAGATGAGTCATCCATGCAGCCATCTGTTGCATGAACAGTTCAACTGTTTTGGAGCTTGTCTAAGGAAGCAGCCAGCATCTCCTTGTGCGCATGGAACCTCTGCAAGAGCAAGCCAAGATGTTAAGTGGAACTAAAGATTCTGACCTAAGCCTTAACGGGTTGTAAAATATTGTGCAATGCTTACACGTATCTGCTCATGATTTCGTCATATAGAATGAAATGGGACTTGCTCAGCTTTAGACTAAGTAGGATTGTAGTATCAGTAGTGTATATATTTTCATACCTCCACAGGACAAGTAGAGTTTGCTTTTCAGTCTACTACAGAAAAATACACTGGTGTTTGGTTCATTCCTGTTTTGAGTTCCAAAAGATCTGACGTAGAAAGAATAATTTTGTTTGAAAAATCCGTTGCATCATTGGAATTTACTTGGTCTGCACCTCGTATACTTGAATGTTCTGACATTCCATACTCAAATGCATTGATAATGAGAAATTTCACCAATCCATAGGTAATATTGGGGGAGGGTGTAACAAGGAATTAGGGAGGTCTTTTCAGAATAGGTGGCAAGAGTTATAACTACCCTTTCTTTTTGATGTGTTGTAAATCAGCTTGGAACCAACATAGGATGTAAAATTAAAATGTTGACTAGCAAGGCCAGTGTATTCAGCCATGGACAAACCAGAGCTTAGAAAAGCTATGTGCTGACTGGGAGATTCAGCAAGGTTTAATCCAAAAATGTTCCAACAAATTTTAAAACCTACAAAACCTTTCCAGTGTCTTCAAGAAACTGAGTCATGTTGATTTGGACTGTTCTGTTAAAAATGAAACTGTTAGCTATTTGCACTTCATTTGACTTTTGAAATGAATAGCCTTTGGTCTGAATTAAACAATTAAGTTTTCCTGGATAAGCCTTGACTTTACACTCTATGAAGAAAGCAATTAAAGCATTTATCTCCCGGCTGGATAAGAAGTAATTTGGAAAGAGGTTTAAAAAAAAAGCCTGAGCTTTTTAATTTTTTTAAAAAAAAAGATTTTTAAGAAAATCTGCATTGCCAGTATTTTTATGCATCTTGAGACTCAGTTTCCCATTTGTACTTTTGCCCCCAGCAGTTGTACCACTTCCCTCTGTTTTGTTTCACGTTGAGAATGTCAGCAATAATGAAGCTTGTGTTCAGGCTTTCATCCTGAATAAGACGGGGTTCCTGATCGTGGAGTTCTGCAACCACATTTACCAAAAGTAGTTACAAAACTTTGTCCAGACGTTTGCATTTAACATACAGAGGTCTCTGACGCTGAGGCATGGGATGGTTTAGAGCAGCCGTAATCAATTTGGGGGGGGGGGGACATGATGCCTGAGAGGCCCTGGCACATATGAAGGGGGCCACAACTGAAAACTGTGAGAGGTCTCTGAAAGATACCTGTTCATGTTGTATCTTTGTCTGATGGGGGCCTTAAATCTGAGAAGAGTTCCTAAAAGGTCTGTGGCAAAAAAAAAGGGTTGAGAATGGCTGTTGTAGGGAATGGATACCTGCATACATTCCTGTTCTCACTTTAAGCCCTCATTGTGATCATGCAAAAGGATGGAAAGGTTGTGGAGGATTTCTTTACAGCCGCTGGACAGAAGAAAAATGACTCTTCACGGCAGCTGGCCCTACAGTAGATCTTCACATACAAAGAGTAGAACCCCATCAGTCTGTGTTCATAGCAAGGTGTGCGAGTATTTTTGTGCACATGCACATATCTGCACCTTTGCAAACCACATGTTTTGGGCAGGATGTTACTTGAGTCCTTGCCCTCCCTTGGCTTTTCCTACACCTCTCACTGGATGCTTTGACTTCATCAGTGGTTAAGGGAGAAATGTGCTGAGAGAGATTGCGGAGGAAAATGTTAAGCAGGAAAAACATTCAAAATTCTTTTCCTGTTTAATGCTCCTCCGTTCCGAGTGCTGGTTTCTTTTCTCCCCCCCCCCACCCCCAAACTTCTTTGTTTGAACAAATAAAAGATTGGGAAGGTCCTATGTTTGCTGGTGGGTGTTTTGCTTCCAAAGTGCAAAACTGCTTGCATGATTTGGGCACACACGCCTATTTTCTTTCTCCCCGCCGTGCCCCATGGGTAGGTGATCGAAAGGGAAACAGGGAAACAAAAGAGTTGTCTGGCTGGTTTAACAACTAGACAACACTAATGCAGACTCTTGGCCTCTTGAAGATTGTAGATATATAGTTGTTATAAATTACTATTCAGTACTGCTCCGTATTGTTATAAATTACCAGAAATACTTATGAATAAGTTTATCACTGCACTGTGGCATCCATAAATCATAAAGTTACTTGCATTTCATTATTGTATGAGTTAATAGCATGCAATTAATTATTTCCATACAGGAATTCTGGGCTTTGCAGGATATAGCTAAACACAGGTTCTTTTCCAACTGGGTGGCTATGTATCTCTCAAGACTGAAAAAGTAAGTTAATAATTGCGTTAATGTACCCTGTGTGTTGTAGAGTGATAAAGTAGGACTCAGGAGACCTGAGTTCAGCTGCCTGCTTGGTCATGGCAATTTGCTAGAAGGTGAGGACTGGTAAAACCACTCTTTAAATATCTCACATACCTATTAGGGTAAATATACGTCAGTTCTGACTTGATGGCATATGAGTGACTGCATATACATATTAGCTAAAGAGTAAAACTAATCTCACTGATTTCCCTTAGTATTAATTCCAGATATTTTTAAGGAGGCTCAATTTGTTTTTGTATAATATTTAGAGAAAATGACTAGAATTCTGTTCATTTTTTATGCGCATGGAACTCCAGCTGGAGAAGGTGTTGGAGTGATCTGATGATGTGCTGGGTGTGTGTTCGGTTGTTCATAACCAAGACTTCATCAGGAGCTCCAGCCATGTGTAAATATTTAACAGGACACTCCTAGAACTCTAAAACATTTGCTTGTTCTCTGTCAGGGTTAGGGAATATGTGGCCTTTTAGATCAGTGGTCCCCAACCTTGGGCCTCCAGATGTTCTTGAACTTAAACTCCCAGAAATCCTGGCCAGCAGAAGTGGTGGTGAAGGCTTCTGGGAGTAGTAGTCCAAGAACATCTGGAAGCCCAAGGTTGGGGACCACTGATCTAGATGATGCTGGACTTTAATTCCTATCCACACTAGCCAGCATAGCTAGTAGAGGTAGGTGGTAAGAGCTATGGTCTAAGAACATCTGGAAGGCCACATATTCCCCATCCCATCCTATATTAATAGTATGGTCCAGTTCTTTAAAAGTAGCTGTATATTGTTGAAAGTAGTTGAAAAGCCTTCTAGAACAGTGATCCCCAACCTTGGGCCTCCAGATGTTCTTGAACTTTAACTCCCAAAAATCCTGGCCAGCAGAAGTGGTGGTGAAGGCTTCTGGGAGTAGTAGTCCAAGAACATCTGGAAGCCCAAGGTTGGGGACCACTGATCTAGATGATGCTGGACTTTAATTCCTATCCACACTAGCCAGCATAGCTAGTAGAGGTAGGTGGTAAGAGCTATGGTCTAAGAACATCTGGAAGGCCACATATTCCCCATCCCATCCTATATTAATAGTATGGTCCATTTCTTTAAAAGTAGCTGTATATTGTTGAAAGTAGTTGAAAAGAAAGGACACTTCAGTGGTTTGTACCAGTTCCCATTCAACACTGAATGATTGCCTCAGTCATTCCATCTGTTGTTCTCTGTACCTTTCAACAAGAATACACAAAACCTATCCAAGGTGTTCCAAATCAAGTTATCCGATTATGTGCAAATATGCTTATTTTGGAGAGTGTAGAATGGGCAGAGAGTTAGTGCAGAATATGTAAGATTGTTCCCCAGGGGTTCATTTTTGCCAGAATCTGTTGTGTTTCTGAATTTCTAAACAGGGCTGGGTAAGACTCCTGTGTTAAATTCTGTGTTAGAAAGCTGCATCAGTGGTCTTTACTCACTCTTAAGACAGCTACAGTGGCACCTCAACTTACGAATGTCTCCACTTGTGAACGTTTCGAGTTACGAACGGCTTCATTGGCAAAATGTTGCTTCAACTTGCAAACAGAGCCTCAACTTGCGAACGAAAAGAAAACCTTTCCTGCCCTTTTTTTTTTACCTAAGTTCATCTTAGGTCAAAAGAAGAAAAAATAAAATAAAAATCTCCTCCTAGTGGTAGAGTACGGATTAACCGGCTTTGCATTAGTTCCTATGGGAACTAATGCCTCTACTTACAAACAGCGCCTCAACATACAAACGAAAAACAGCCTGAACAGATTAAATGGTTTTCAATGCATTTCTATGGGAAATCTTGCCTTGCCTTACAAACTTTTCGACGTACAAACGCCATTCCAATACGGATTACGTTCGTAAGTCGAGGTACCACTGTACATTCTTAAGTTTTGTTGAGCAGATACTTTTGTTCTGTATCATCATTACAACATATTCTGTATATAGGAAAGACACTCTTCACATCAATGTTTAGTCAATACAGTGGTGCCTCGCAAGACAATTGCCTTGTGGGACGATTAATCCACAAGACAATTGGTTTTTGCGATCGCTGTGGTGCTTCACAAGATGATGTTTTCTATGGACGATTTTTGCAAGATTGATTTTTTTTCCCATTGGAACGCATTAAATAGATTTCAAGCATTCCAGTGGGGAACCGTATTTCACAAGACGATGTTTTCACAAGACGACGCTTTTTGCGGAACGAATTAACATCGTCTTGCGAGGCACCACTGTACTTTGCTCAGATTTACTATTTTGAGCATATTTGCTCACCAAAATCATTATTTTTTTCCCAGAATGCCTTTACATGTGTGACCAACAGTTAATGCCTTGTGTTTTAATTGTTAGAACTTTTAATATGTTCCCTGAGATGTCTGGATGAATAGGTTGATGCTCCAGGCACATTCTGAGATGTGCAGGTTTCTAGTAATGAATAATATAATCTAAAACTTGACCCAGCCACTGTGAAGCCTGAATGATAAATACAATATTCTTGTATCCATATAAATTTAAGTCAGAATATGTCATGAACAATGAATGTCTTGGAGAAAAAAGTGTTTAAAGATAAGACAAAATAGCAAGTAAGTGTATTTGCTAAATTTCTTACCCAGTTTGCTGTGAAAGAATGATACATGAGTTTATTTTCCTTTGTGAGACAGTCTTAGCTTTGTAAACCATGTTTTAATATGATCAGCTCCTGCTTAATTTTGTATCGTGCTTAATAAACCAAAGTTAAACCACAGATTTCCCATTCAGGTATAAGTGGGAATGAGATTTAAAGCAAGTGTGCCATAGGAGCATCAAAATGATAGTGGAGGGAGGGATCCAGGGAGCAGGAAGTGCACAGATTTGATGTTCATTCTGTTTAATAAACTATGATCTATTAAACCAAGATCACAATGTTGACAGCAGCCTAGAGTGACTGTAGAAAACATGAAATGCAAACGGAATGTTGCAATTCTGTCTCTTTTTATATGTGTACTATACAGGAATACAGGAGATTCTGACTCTGAGCGAAGGAGAAGAATGACCAGTGAGTTGAATCAAGAGTGTTTCTGTGTCCAAAACTTCCAAAGCACATCCCTTGCGTAGAACTGATCTGTCTTTTGCAGTGGATTTAATTAACACCATAAGATTACACTGGGCTTCTAAACATGGGTGTGAACAGCAAAATAAGAGCCACAGGCATCTTCTCACACTGACAGTAAACCTTCTAACGCCTTTACATCTATGGAGAAAACGGCACGTGTTAAGTAATCATTGGTAACCAGTGTAGTGTAGTGGGTAGCGTGTTGGACCAGGACTCATGAGATGTGAGTTCAAATCCCCGTTTGACAATGGAAACCATAAAACAACTCCTTAACTATCTACTTGCCTTGGAAACCCTGCTAAGGTTGCCATAGGTTGGAATGGACATTATGATCCATAAAATAAAACATACCATGAGGATTAATGGATCAGATATCAAACTTGTTTCATATTTACATGTTGCTACCAAGATGGCTATAAGAATGAACTGGAAATAAACAGTCACCTGTAAATAACTGGTTTAAACTGGTTTAAAAGAGCCTTGTGGCGCAGTGGTTAAAACGCTGTACTGCAGCTAAAACTGTGCTCATGACCTGGGGTTCAAATCCCAGGTAGCCGGCTCAAGGTTGACTCAGCCTTCCATCCTTCCGAGGTCGGTAAAATGAGTACCCAGCTTGCGGGGGGGGGGGCAATGTGTAGCCTGCATAATTAAAAATTGTAAACCGCCCGGAGAGTGCTTGTAGCGCTATGGGGCGGTATATAAGTCCAATAAATAAATAAAAATAAAACAAACAAATAAATAAACATATGTGGAACACTGTCCTGTTTATCATCATCATCATCATCATCATCATCATCATCATCATCATCAATAATAATAATAATAATAATAATAATAATAATAATAATAATAATAATAATAATAGTAACTACGTTGACACATTATTGGAAGGTGCAAAGAAATTATCTGAAAAATATGGATAAATTACGAATGATACGCAGTGTTTGCCATGTACTGGAATGAGAAAGTGAAAAATGGAACATACTCTTTTGCTTATTATGAATTGTTCCAGAATTCTATGTTGTTGTTTTAATTTCATGAACGAGGCAAAAAAATTACACAACCAACTCCTTGAAGTTCCTGAAGTATATGGTGAATGTGGGGAGAGGGGGAAAGCAACTCTTATAAATGAAAGAAAGGGTGGAGTCATGATTCTATGGTAGACGACACATTAAAGTTTCAGCTGTAAATTTTCACATGGGTTAAAAGATCTCAGGAACGTGGTTGGAAAAAGACTTATTTCTGAGACTTTGAGGAGCTGTTCCCTACTGGATGGATCCGTGATCTTACGCTGTACAAAAGAGCTCCTTCTAACTTGCATTCCCAGGGCCTAGGACACTATCTATATTAAGAGCTGTTGGATTAAAACAAACAAACAAACGACAAATCACCTCCATGAATATCGGCATGTAACAAATATTTGGGGTGTTAGCTTTGAAAGGCAAAGCTTTGTGCAGCTACATTGATGTTGCAACAGTTCATTAATCTCTGAATATGATGGCCAGTTGGATGCTCAAAAAGCACAGTTGCCTTTCATCCCCAAAGTTTGTACTCTGCTGCTCCAATTTTCAGATGGGTCCGTATGGCTGATTTAGCAAGCTCTGTCAGGTATATATTAATGACATTAATTTGGCAGAAGTGCAGCCTTGTAACTGCCATTGAGTTCTCAGTCCACATTAGGGGCATATGATGTTATAACATTCATCTTAATGTCATCATTTTAAATTGGTTTATTTGGGGGAACAATTGATAGCTGGTATTTTAATCCACTTTGCTTGGTTCATCTTGAAGTTGCTTTTTCATATAAAAGTATTTGAACTATTTTTGACAATTGTAAAGATATTTTTAGATGCCTTTTATCTATGCTTTCCTGCTCTCATTATGTCCGAATAGTTGTGCCGTAATTGGAATTTCTTATGCTTGTCCACTTTTTTTTTTAAATCTTCTTTTACTTCATCAGCTTTTTAATGGCCCAGTTTTATCAAATCTGTATTATATCTTTTTCCCAAAGTATGAAAGATGGAGCCTTGGCCAAAATCCTATTGCTGTTTTCTACATGTGTAAAGGCATTTGTGGAAGTGTTTTGTGTGTGTCCCAGGTTGCCCGTAGGATGGACACATAGTCAGTTGTGCAATTGGGAACATTGAGCACATGACTAACCACAAGAAAACAGCTACCATCACTTGTGCAGCCACATTTTCACAGCTGGGTAGGGAAAGAGGATTCTGTCCATTAACACAAATAAATTAAGAGGAAACAGGAAAAAAAATCAAGACACCCCCATGGTCACACAGCAAAATTATGTACATGCTGTGATGGCCATCAGCTTAGATGGCTTCAAATAGAGATTTGACAAATTGCTGGAGGATCCGCTTGTTGGTGGCTGCCAATAATGATGTTCCAGGATTTGCGTCACCAGCTGTCTGAATACTAGTTACTGGGGACAGAAGAAGGGAGTGCTACTCCTCTCCCACCCAGCTTGTGGAATTTCTGTAGGCAGCTGGTTCACCAGTAGAAAAACTGGAAGCCTGAAGTAGGTAAAACTTCAGTTTTATCCAACCACTCTTTTAGATTCTTCTTTTATCTATTGCTAAGTAGCCGCCTAGAGTGGTTGTTGAACTAGATAGGCAGGGTATAAGTACAATAATTTAGATAGATAGATAGACAGACAGACAGATAGGTAGACAGATAGATAAGTAGCTGCAAGTGGGATGTGGTGGTGCTGCGGGTTAAACCACAGAAGCCTCTTTGCTGCAGGGTCAGAAGACCAGCAGTCGTAAGATTGAATCCACGCGACAGAGTGAGCTCCCATCACTTGTCCCAGCTCCTGCCAACCTAGCAGTTTGAAACCATGTAAATGCGAGTAGTTAAATAGGTACCACCTCAGTGGGAAGGTAATGGCGTTCCGTGTCTAGTCGCGCTGGCCACGTGACCACGGAAACTGTCTTCGAACAAATGCTGGCTCTATGCCTTGGGAATGGGGATGAGCACCACCCTCTAGGATCAGACATGACTGGACTAAATGTCAAGGGGAACCTTTACCTTTACTAAGTAGCTGCAGGACTTAAGCATACTTAAGCAGACCCGGGGGGTTAACAACAAAAGACTTACAAGCCAAGGGACAGCATTATTAAGCTCCTAATGTATATGGTTCAAAATAGGCCATAGCTGCAGGGATGTGTAGGGCTCCCAGCAGCCCTTAGGCCATGCAAGCACAATGTGTCCGACTCTTGACACTCCCATAATTTTGCCTGAAGGTTTCAGCGTGTCAGACACAAGGCTGTTCCAACCCATGTGAGGACAGGTAATTTTGCAACTTTAAGAAGAATGTCACCAGAGTTGGAAGATGCAAAGATCTAATAATAAATCATCACTTTTTAAAAGTACATTTCAGATTCAGGACGGTTCTACCCCCTTACCAGTGTAAAAGCCAATTGTGTTGTGCCAGTGCAGGCAGCATGGTGCTTAAATCTCTAGTATTCAGACAATGGAAAACTAATGAACTGTGGGATATAAGCTTGTGTTTTTGTTCTTGTTACCTTTCATTTCTTTAAAATCCTTAATTATTTTCTTATATCAGTGTAGAGGAAATCTACTTGAATGCATATAATCTCTATGGAAAAGCCCCTGCCCGTTTTTATATACTGTATGCATTTTCTTTTTGGTTGCAGGTATTAATCCAAGGTATGTGCTGAGAAATTGGATGGCAGAGTCAGCTGCCCAGAAGGCTGAAAGGAATGACTTTTCCGAGGTAGAGCATTGATTTTGCACTGTACATTTTATGCTCAGGATGACATTCTTGGTGAAGAGACCAAGTATAGACTCAATAAACTGTTTGTGCAGCATAGCTGCTGATGCTTTGTTCCTTTTTCATAGAAGTGACACACAGGTTTGTTTTACTTCCAGGTCCGTCTTGTGCAGCAGGTTTTACAGCAACCCTTCCAGTTGCAAACGGTGGCTGAGAGAGCTGGTTATGCACAACGCCCACCTGCTTGGGCCAGAGCCATTAAAGTCAGCTGTTCATCTTGAAACAAGCCTCTAGTCAAGTTATTGATGTATGGATGAAGCCTTCAAATGACACCAAAGCCTTAGGACAGGGGTGAGCAATCTCCAGAGGTCCAGAGCCAAGCAATCCCATCTGTGGATCTTCGGAGGGGCCCGTCTGGTCCTCTGACCCACACGTCCCTTTTCCTTGCCTTAGACAAATCAGTTTTTAAGAAACCAAGCAACCTCTTTTGGGGCCTCTGGGCCCAACAGGTGGTTTTTTGTTTAAATTTAACAATTGGGATGTGAGGGCCATTCAAAACATGGCAAAACTGCCTTCTCCCTATAGAGCACAAGAAGCTTTTGGGAAAAAAATAATTTGAATTGCGTGTATGTGTGTCTGCTGGTTGATGGCGGTTACTGGTTACCTGCTCCATATTAAAATATCATGTAACTTAGTATTTTTGCCACTTGTATCCTCTGATGATGAAGATCATGACCACTGGTCCCATCACCTCCTGGCAAATAGAAGGGGAAGATATGGAGGCAGTGACAGGTATTACTTTCTTGGGCTCCATGATCACTGCAGATGGAGACTGCAGCCACAAAAATTAAAAGACGCGTGCTTCTTGGGAGGAAAGTGATGACAAACCTAGACAGCATCTTAAAAAGCAGAGACCTCACCTTGCCAACAAAAGTCCACATAGTCAAAGCAATGGTTTTTCCAGTAGCGATGTATGGATATGAGAGCTGGACCATAACGAAGGCTGACTGCCGAAGAATTGATGCTTTTGAACTGTGGTGCTGGAGGAGACTCTGAAGAGTCCCCTGGAAAGGGAACGAGATGGCTGGACAATTGTCATCAAAGCTACCAACATGAATATGACCAAACTCCGGGAGGCAGTAGAAGACAGGAAGGCCTGGCGTGCTTTGGTCCATGGGGCCATGAAGAGTCGGACACGACTTAATGACTAAACAGCAATCCTCTGTTGTTTTGTCGCCCAGTGGCTCCTTGCTCTCTTTCGACATGCTTTTGCCCTGTTCTGGCTACACTGCCCAAAAGCCCAGTTACTGTATAACAGCCATGAATCTGGCACACTTTAGATGTTTTGCACTACATTTTCCATCATTGTCTCAGCATAGTTAATGCTGTATAAAATGACTCAACAGCCACTCCTTTCAGTCTGAGCAACTGTATTGTATTCTGACTACTTCGGTGTCCTCTGCACACGTTTTCCATAATATTAATATAGGTAGCTACAGGAAGCTTAGTTGAACTATGTATTCATCTTCTCACTCATTTAAATACTCTGTTCTTTTTTTTTGTGCCCAAAGTAACTGGTAGCACCATCCAGTTTTGAACAGAGAACATTTTCTGTAAAAGCACCCCAAATTTCTGGTCTAATAGCTGGTAGAGCATTTTTGTTGAGGATCCAGTACATGTGTATTGAATTATTAGAACTAGAAAATAGGATTCTGAAATATCTGGGGGGAAAATCTTTACCTAGCAAAAATCCTTGCAGGTATTTTGGCTAAACATTGCAAGCTGACAGCCAAGGGGAAGCAAAGCATGTGGCATATGAGCAAATAAGTGAAACTCTTCTTGATATATGCAGTGGACAGCTGCTGCAACATTTATTTATTTCTGAAAATCTAAGAGTTTTAACAATACTTCTTCTTAGCACTCTTGCCTCTGTGATGAAACTTTTAGCAAGCTTGTGCTCTGGGTGAGCCTCTCAAGGGACTTAAACCTCCCCCTGCTGTCTTTTCCTGTTACCCAGTTTAAGGTCCTGGGGGCCCAATTTGCAAGAACCATAACTAGAATAGTTATGAGATTTTTGTCAGAGTAAATAAAAAGTTTGCAAAGGAGACTTTCCGGAGATGGTCTCAAATTGTGTTATGGGCCATGTCCTTTAAAACATCAATTGTGCTTGCTCATTAATTTTGACACTGGTGAGGAGACACACAAGAGGAGATTTTATTCACAAAGTGGCAGTGAGTAGCATCGACACAAACAGGAGATTTCAGGTGCACCATAAATGATAAAAGAGGAGCAGTAAATGAAAAACATTACTTAAATTATTCAAAAACCTACAGAACCTTTAAAACTATGCATTTCTAGGTGCCAGAGAAGTAACCACATATGTAGTCTGCAGATATTCTCACTGAAAACATCTATTCTCATTGTGAGTTCTTAGTTTCAAAATGACTGAAGTTCACAGGTGTAGCATGCTGTGGCCAGGGCAGCTTGTGCATAATGAAGTCTTCAGTGACTTTTCTGACTTTTTATCCAAAGTACAGAAAGCAAAAGGACAGGTTGACACTTGAATAATGTTTCCCAGCCAGTCGAAAAGTGAATTTAGGAGCTGTAAAGGAAACTATAATGTGGCATTCCAGATTTCTAGCTTATGTTTTTTGCAGTGTGCCTCAGCCCTAGATGCAATAAATTAATCTAATTAATAATTTTTATTAATTTTTGCTGACCAAAACATAGCTAGTCTGTTAAAACCTCCTTTTCACTGGGAGACTTGCACTGCTTCTACTTGTGTTCTGAAAAGCCAATATTTCTACAAGTCCTTGAGAAAGGGACCCATCTCACGTTCAGCATGTGTTGGAGTTACTACTACTAGCATGTATGCCCTTAGACCACCAGGGAAGCACCCCCTCTGTGGTCTAGTCACAATTAAAACCACACCCTGATACATAAGCTCCTTGCTTCATGATGTGTCACCCCTTTTCTTCTGCAATGCTCTCATTAGATCAGACATTAAATCGCCTTGGGCAGATGCATCTCCTCTTGGGGGTGGCCCCCCTTGCCTTGGCCCTCCATCCTGCCCATCACTTTCTTCCTGCCTTCTAGGCGGAGGCAGAGGCTTCTTTCTGATTGGTGGAGGCATACTGGGAGCAGAGACTGGGGGAGGAGGCAGTGGTGGAGGAGGCAGCAGTTCTGCATTTGCAGTTTCAGCAGCAGAAGAAGGCGGAGGGGGTGGAATAAAATCAGGGGGAGCTTCATAATATTCTGGTGGAGGAGGCGGTGGTGGCGGCGGCAAATCATCCAGTTCCGAGAGTGACGGGGTTAAATCAGGAGGTGGTGGAAATTCTGGATCCGGTGGGTAAACAGTTCCGCCCTTCTGGTTATCAGTGGGTAAGTTCAGTGAAGTAGTGATGGCAGAAGATCGTCTCTGGGGAGGAGGAGGTGGACAGAGGCCACCAGGTTTCCGCTGTTTGACCTGCGGCAGGGTGAGTAGTGGTGGCGGTGCTTGACTGGCAACAGGGATGCTGTCTGGTTTCTTAGCCTTTTGACAAAGGAAATAGTGTCAAATGTGTGAGGGCAGTACAGATGCCGCACCAATTATGGCTTCCTGGTATCAAGAATTCTTCGTCTAACCCTCAGTTAAGAACTGGCAAAATAAAAAATGTTTTCAAGATAAACTATGGCAGGGCTCCCCAACCTTTTTCACCGCTTTGTCTAACCCTCAGTTAAGAACTGGTAAAATAAAACAGATGTTTTCAAGATATACTATGGCAGGGCTCCCCCACCTTTTTCACCTTCAGCACTTCCTGCTTTTGCTTGTGTTCATCTGCTGAGTGGTTTCTATGCCAATCAAAAACTCTTCTAACAATGAGCAGATGCATATAAGCAGGACAAAACTTAAATGCAGTGCATTTATTCCTTCACTCTAGTAAGATGCAATATACTGTAATTCCTTGGCAGACACTTCAAAACACAAACCTTTCAAAGTACTGTGAAATGCATTTTGTGTACACTCCCTCTGTTCCTTATTTATTGCTATACATTCTGGCAAACACTGGCACAGCTCAAAATACCTGACATATCATACACCATACAGTGCTGAACAAAAAAGTGTACAAGAACATCTTAAAGGTGGCAGTTTCACATTTGTATCTCTATTTTCTGATGGCTGAAGCCTACTCTGGGTTGTATGCTCCTACTTCCGTATTCATTTATGTGGCCAGAATCCTAGTGGTGTTGGTGTAGAGTGTGTGGAGCTTACAAGGATTAATGGCAGCTAACTGACCCAGGTGCATCTTGGTTATGTGCCTGGCTGCACACCCAAGATGCATTCCGGCGCCTTGTCAAGTTAGCCACATCAAGTTATGTAAAGTTTACATAAGTACCAGTAGGATTCCAGCTTGTGTTTATAATCTTGAAAATACAGGTATTTTCCAAAATGACCACCAAAGGCTAGGATATAAAATTTGGCAACCTAGGTTTTCAAATTCAGTGCAGTTTTCCATTAAAAGTTACACGACTTCCATTAATTCTCACACCTCAATACTGTCGTGATATAGAGATGGATATTTCCTGAAGAGCCTAAAACTAGGAGAAGCTTATACAGGAGATGACATTCTTTCAGCTAGCCTGGTCCTGTTGTACATGACTTTAGAGGTCATAACCAATGCCCCAAAACAGACCATCAGACAGTGAAGTTGTTAACAAAGGAGTCACATGTTACCTGGCCTGGTCAACATCCCGCCGCCTAGAGTGGTCGCAATGACCAGATAGGCGGGGTATAAATGGAATAAATACAGTGGTGCCTCGCAAGACGAGCGCTTCGTTTAACAAGGAAATCGCATAACGAAGTTTTTGCGATCGCAAAACGATGTTTCCTATGGGTTTTTTTCACTTTGTGATGATCGATTACCTGCTTTGCTAACCGATTATCGCTAAACGAAGATTTTCGGACAGCTGATTGGCGGTTTCAAAATGGCCGCCGGGTAAAAAAATGGCCGCCCGCTGTTTTCTGGGATGGATTCCTCGCTGCATGGGCAGCGAATGACTGCACTATGGAGGATCTTCACTGGACAGTGAGTTTCAAGCCTATAGGAACGCATTAATCGGGTTTTAATGCGTTTCTATGGGCTTTTTAAAATTGCTTTATGATTTCGTTCTGCAGCGAGTTTGCTGGAACGAATTAACATCGTAATGCGAGGCACCACTGTAAATAAGAAATATGGCTGACATTTCCATGCAGTTTTCAAAGGCCACTTAATCCACAGTGTGTTGTGTTCATCCAAACAGTATATAGCTAGACAGTCATTCACTGTGGCTATGGCCCATGTTCCTTATTACATTCAAGAATCTCCCGACAAACCGCTAAGATTCCAACACCCACCTTAATATGGACTGTCACAAGAATTCTCCTGTATTAGTCAATACATTTTATTTGTACCTTTGGTGTCTCAGCACGTTTCCCATTCTCTGAAGAGACTGCTATAGTTGGGGTTATGCTTTGCGGGACTTGTCCATTTGCATGAGCACTACCTATGAAAATACAAGCGAAGGCAAAAAAACAGATTAACCTATAGAAATAGCTCAAATTTAAGTAAACAAATATGCAATTTTTCCTCATTCTCAAATCATCCTAAAATAACATACTACTCTTCATAGGATATTAGAGCACTCTTTAAACATATATCTTGTTTATATGTCTGAAAAGAATGGTTAGTAGCATGTTGAACTCTTGCAGACCAAAAGAAACCTGTGGCTTTAATTGTGAATTGTACAGTCTATCAACAAGTCTTATGTACAATTTATTTACCAAAAATTTTAGCCGCGCCATTACCAATGGTCGCTGAGCGGCATATAACAATATGAAAACTTTAAAAACATTAAAACCATTTAAAAATAGGCAATATTATAATAATACCCTACATTAAAAATGGTCATTAAAACATTAATATTAATAACTAATTAACATTTTCCAGTTTAGTCTAGGCTATCTAGAAGCTGAATCTTTGAAATGCATACAGTCATGGCCCAAAATATTGGCATACCTGCAATACTGTCAGAAAACATTTTAGATAGGGCGCCAATAATTTTGGCCAGTGCATTTTAGGTTTCTGTGTGGGGTTGTATCAGATTTGATTTTTCTTCTCTGTTTTTTGTGTTCTTCCAAGGCAAACCAAAGAAATGAACATGTGAGTACCAAAACATTTGCAACTGCAACAATTTTCTGAGAGAAGCGTTGCATTATCTGACAGAATTGCACAGGTGCCAATATTTTTGGCCATGACTGCAGTTCCTACATTTTAATGCCTTGGTTGTCTTTGTGAAAAATCAGACTAGTGAAAGAGCTAGTTCAGGTGTATCTAAAACTGAATTGCAGAATCATGAAATCATGAAGTGGGAAGGGGCCTATAAGGCCGTCAAACCCAACCTCCTGCTCAATGCAAATTTCTGAAGATGATCAAAAATACCTTTGGAAGAAGATCCTGCAGCAGCTATGGATTCAGCATTCCCTGGCTTTGCCAGTCGGGAAGCTAAGCCAGCCTTCTGCACTGCACGGATGTAGTTATCATACAATGTTTTGCCGTACTGGAAAAGTTAACACACATTTTATCTTGCCTGCAGAAGATGACCACAAATATCTTGAAACAGAAGCCTATTTACACTCACTTTCTATCAACTGAAATGCAAGCCCATTGGAAAAATTTACTTCTGGATCTTATTGAGCTGTATGTGTCAGGACAGCAAGTTTAAATTGGTTTAAATTTAAACCAGCAAGCTTTCTGCACCCAGAATTGTTTCTTATTACAAGATAAACTTCAGAAAATAGTAATAATGGTTGATACAACTGTGATTTAATTACAGTAACTCTACCAAGCTGAACCCTACTGGATTTCATGCTGTTTTCAGACTGCCGAAAGCAAAGGATGTTAATAAAATAAGACTGTTGCTTTTGCCTACATTGGAAAATATTATCTGAAATCCATTGGCTAAAACTGCTGGATAACTCAATGGTTTAGCTTTCCAGCTGCAGAGCCAACAATTGGGAGTTCAGTTCTTCACTGTGCCTTCCTTATGGGCTAGACTTGATGACCCATTGCGTCCCTTCCAGCTCTGTAGTTCTAAGATGATTATTAGCTTGGCTGAATAAATGAGCATTCCTTTTTTGTATCTATTTGTTTTTGCTTCTATGGTCAGAATCTTTTTTCAAGTGTGGCAAAAAAACAACAACTCGGCTACCATGAGATCTTCAGCTTGACATTGTCCAAGCTGGAAATCATCTGGTTGTAGGAAATGGGCCACAATTTATGCCTTGTGCAAATTGTGGGGAAAAGCCCATCTTATCTTATTTACAAGCTGCAGAAGAGTCTGAGAGACAGCTCAGAGCTGTACTGCCTGACTCTTGGGCTCAACCAGCTTCAGATTAACCTCCCAGGGGCAAACAACGTTTTGAGAATTTCATATAACTGCTCTCCACCCCACCCTCCCTCAGAAGTAGCCATGGATGTGCCAATCACAACTGGGATAAGGAGGTACTTCACAAAGCCAAATGACAGTTTGCCCCCCCCAAAACTCCCTGTCTAAGACCATGAAGGTTTTCAAGTGTTCTTCCCTCACCCATAGTGTTTACCAAATGGCAGTTTGCCCCCCCCCCAAAAAAAAACTCCCTCAGCAAAATGGACACTCAGTAGCATCCCTGTCTAAGACCATGAAGGTTTTTCAAGTGTTCTTCCCTCACCCATAGTGCCATAATTGTGACCAAAGCCCCAACCCCTGCTTTGACTCCTTCCTGGAGCAAACATCCACTTGAGGCAATAGCATAGGCATCCTTCAGTCTCGAGAGACTAAGGTCACGTGCTCTGTATGGAGGACTTGGAACAGCATCTAGTGTTTCGATGCTGTGTGCGAAGCTGGGGTGTCCTCTCCAGAGCACAAAGCCTGGGTAAAATAATATGGAGAATAGGCTGTTACCCAAGCAGCAAATCTCCCCTCTCCACATCACTGAAATAGTCCAGTGGAAAGGCAAGAGCCAATACAACTGGTTCCAGCGAAGTCGCAGGAGTTGGCAGAACGACACAAACTGCCTCTGAGGCTCTGGCTCCGGATTTTTCCTCGAGGTTGACTACTCCTGAAGCCTTTTCCATCAGCGGATATAGCCACAAGGCAGTGGAGTTTTCCTTCTCCTAGATGGGCTGCCTTCCAAGGCTGACAAGTCCCACCTACCTGGCCTGCTCCCTCACGGCATGGAGGACGATGGCGGCGCCTCAGTGGGGGTTTGAAATTGGAGCCCTCCTTCTCCCCGCTTGAGGCAACAGTGCAGGAAGAAATAGCGAATCCTGCTTCCCATTACATCACCCTCTCCCAGGAGTAAACTGCATGTATCCATGTGTAATTAAATTGCTCCCCTCATCTATCCATTTCTACACCATTCGTAGGAAGAGGGGGATAGGCCTTGGGACGATGGTCTGATCCATGCAGAGCTTCTGTTTCCCCCATCTTGCTTTCAATACCAAAGGTTCCAAAGTGCGCAGTGCCTCTCTTGGCTCTTTCCTTGAGGACTGCCTCATCCATGTATAATTCTGCTGTGTGTATACGATGTCAGTGCTTATTTAACTAAAACACAGCCTGACAATGTTACTCCTCCAAACTACAACTGGAATTCATCATTCTGTTTTCTTTTTATTATTGAGAAACACACCTTCTCCTCCTCACCTTTGCAATTCTTATACCAGTTACCCAATGATGTAGAGCTTGCCGATCATCACAGCATAAGTATTTGATGTATTGTGATTCCTTCTGTATCTGAGGATGCTAGCAAAGGGAATGAAGGAATGAATAATGTAACAATAATAATGGCACATGATTTTTCACTATTAAAAATATGCTGACATTCAAAGATGGACAGAAATGCTAGCTATAAATCAGCCAAGTTTTATCTGCTGGATGAAAGCCGGGATTCAGATAGTTACAACATGACTTCCAGCTAGTAAATTTGGGGCATGTCATGGCTCTGTGTTTAGTATCCTCGTGTGTAATCTAGAGAGAGCATACTTTTCATTACCATCTATCAGTTACATACATGCAAGATTAATCTACAATGTCCATTTTTCAAAAAATTCAAAAAGCAAGTAATATTTTTTAAAAAAGAAAAGAATCAAGTGCTCTGCTACGAATATTCTTATTTTCTTTTTCTCTTTGTGTTCTTTTGGAAGGGTAACTTATTCATAGGGTTGCCATAGGCTGAAAAATCACTTGGAGGCATGAAACAACAACAGCATTAAATAATTCAAAGACCACTTACTTCAAATAAAAATGTCCAACTTATTACTGTAGTTTTTCGATTTGAAACCCTTTATGAGGCCAGAGAATTTGTAACAAGAAACATAAGGATTTTGATGTATTGCAATAATCGGCTAGAGCCACCAGATGGCATCAGATACTGTTCAATGATTTAATGTCCAGACTGGCAGCAGATAAAAGAGTTTTGTAGCATGTTAACAGACTAATAGACTAACAAATTTATTATGCCATTAGCTTTCATGGACCAGTCGCCAAATCACTAAATGCAAGAATTAATATCTCATCTTAGAAAATGCATGTTTTAAAAAAGTATTATTAAAGATTTTTTTCCAACCAAAAGCAAACACAAACTCTTAACTCTTAATTTTCAGAATACATTTCATGACAGATTTTCCAATGGGTTCTATCAGATAGCAATGCAAAGATATTATATTATATTTTGTAATGCGAAGATAAACTATGCTCCCTCCACTGCACATTAGGAAGCACCTTCTCTATCTCTGCCTCTCCCTACCCTTTCAGTTTTGTTAACATTAGTTTTCATTAATTTTTTTTTAGAGTCCCTACTCCCCTCCTTTAAAAAATTCTCAAGGTTTCTTATGAGATGTAGAATGCAGTTCTTTCCACAGCCATTATGACGTAATGGTTAGAATGTAGGACCGGGAATGGTCCAGGCTCCCTACCGAGCCATGAAACACTATGCAACCTTTTCTCCTGGACTGGTGGGGGGATAAAACCAGGTACTGTACTGACTGATCTTATTAGGGGAAACACTGCAAACATATTGCAAATGTAATAAATAAACAAACAAGGTAATTAAACTTTTATATTTCACATGATAGGATTTATTTGTTTGTCTGTCTATAGCTGCCCCTCCTCCCCATTGGGGTCTGTAAAGAAAATATTCTGCAGTCATATTGAGTGTAAAGCCCCACTTCCTCTACAAGAGACTAAAGCATTTACATGGTTATCATGCGATAAAGTATAACTCCTTTGGCTTAATTGTGTGATGCCATTATCACTACTAGTCAGATGCCGGTTGCTCTTATTACATCATTTTTCAAGAAGAGGCAGATTGGAATGTGTAAGGAAAATCCCACATTTCAGCTTTATTCATATTTCCATTGTATCACATGAAATATTACAAAATACTGTCAAGGAAACAGATGACATGAACTAGTTCTGGATGGCCAGTGCCATTGTGATAGAATATGGTGGCACCATCCATAAAGAGTAAATTCAGAAAGATATCTCTAAAGGTTATTAGGGGGAAAAATCCCAGCTGGGAGCGCTACAATGGCAGGTACTAAGGAATGGAAATAGGATATGACGACACTGTTGTGGCACTTTGTTCCCAGGGCACCAATTCTTTCACCCTAGATTAATTCCATATTATGCACCATTACTCTCAGGTTACTCAAGCAAAACCTTCACCAATAATGCATAATTAAATTCTCTTGATATCTGAGAGACAACAGACTGACTAAAAGAGCCAATTTACATATAGATTACCTTGCTACTGTCAACTGTGAAGATTTTTTTTAAAACTCGAAAGCTAAGATTTTATGCCAGTGGCTTCATGAATCTGCAAAACAGATGCGGTGTTCCAATTTTTCTCCATATAAGAGATTAACAATGCAGTCCTCTCTATGTCCACATAAGGACATGGATAAAGGGGGCTGATGCTTTTTAACTTGTTCAAAAACGATCTAATGTAAACAGGAATGAACTGTAAATGTGGCACAAATTCAGAACATCCACTCATGATGTATGTTTTACTGTACATACCTTTAAGACAAAACAGTAGTCCGTAGGTGCTTTATATTTTGCTTTGTACTGAACACCATAATATACATTTACATTTTCAAACTGTATGAAGCAAGCCAAATCTCGAGATGTCTAAAAGACAAAAAAAGAAATGCCTGTTATTATAATAATTAGGTTTTGACAGTTAACACATTCATCAACTTAGTTCAGCGCTGATTTTGTTGGCTAAGGATTTGACTGCTATGACTATACCATAATGTGAGGTTTCCCCAAAAATCCAAGTTTAAAATAAGAAGTTGTTATAAAAGTCACCCTAGAGAAGGCATTCTCTGTTTTTATCTTGGCAACCCTCTTTCTTAGCTTCTTTATTCAAACACCATACTTTATTTGAATATGGTATTCAAATGCCACTCTTTAAATGAATTTCTGAAAATTCACAGTGTCTTTTTAACACAAGCATGGCTTCATTTTTCTCTGAGAACAAGAACACAGGGCAGTTGATCTGCAGACGTGGTCGGTGGATCTCTGAAAGCTTCAGAATCCAGACTATGCCCTTTGTTGCAGAGGAAACAAGAGGCTAGTTTGACAATAAAGCAGAGAGAGTCGCTTGCTCTAGGGAAGTTCTGAGTTTTTCCACAAAGAATTTGTGGTGCAACCTGAGAGATGCTGAACATGGGTGTGCGTAGAGCTTCAAAAGGAATACAACAGTCAGGACAGAGAATGTGGCATAAGCTCTCTCTGTGTGTGTCCGTTTTTATGTGTATGAAAGTCTAGGAAAGGTTTGGGGCCCTTGAGTCAAAAATTGAGGCCTTTACCTCTGTTAGTACATTCAGCAATACAGTGGGGTCTTGACTTAAGAACGGCTTGAGTTAAGAACATTTTGACTTAAGAACCGCTCTCATAGGAAAATATTGACTTAAGTACTTAGATTTGAGTTAAGAACTGAAAAAAAACCACGTGGGAGGCAGGGAAAGTGCAAAATTTGAACTTTCAGTTAACTGTTGGCCAGTGAAAAGGGTGCCTGTCTGCTTCCTCACTCCTCCCAGCGTTTAGAGAGTGGATTGGGAGACAGTCTTCAGACTGCCTGGTACTGCCTGGACTGTATTTTCCCTGCCTTCCCTGAACCTTTCTTGACCTAAGAAAAAAAGAAACAAAATATCTCCCTCTAGTGGTCGAAGGCAGAATAGCACCTTCCCATTAGTTTCTATGGACGGAAAAGAGCAGATATGGATCAAATGGTTTTCAATGCATTCCTATGGGAAATGCAGATTTGACCTGATAACTTTTTGACTTGAGAACCGCCTTCCAATATGGATTAAGTTCTCAAGTCAAGACCACACTGTATGACTGCTGTTAATATTATGTAAAAAAGATCCAAGAAAACCATAGCTAACATTCAGATTCATAGGAAGAAGTTGGCATGGAGTTTAGACCTTTTCCCCCCCTAATGTTGTGTTGATGGTTTATCCATACATAATTGCAAACAACTGGCAGGTTCTCTCTGTGCTGCATCAAAAGAGCATGTTTTTCTCTCACCTTAAGTGGTCTTTTGTGGACTGCCATGAAATAACCATTTCCTATTCCTTTTTTTGTCAACTGCCATGAAATAACCATTTCCTATTCCTGACAACCAAATTTTTCCTACTGGTATATCCAGTTGTGGAGTTAAAGATCTGGGGATGAGGTGCTGACGTATCTAAAAATCCATATTATGCTTCTTAATGGCAATACACTGAGTTTTCCGTAAGGATTTTAAGGAAACTAATGGTCTGACTATATGATTTTAAATGTTTATCTGCATTTAATGTGCATACAGTATTTTTAAAAATATGAATAGAAGATATTTATCAGGATTACAGCAACTGCAAAGGGATTTTTAACCTTTTCCTTCCTTGCTATTCTCCTAATGAAAACTGCCACTCAGAAGTTACTTGAGTTTTTGTCAAAAATGCAGCAAGGGAGTTAAGTTACACTCCCTCTACAACTTACCCCCAAATCCAGTAATGATCAGCCCCCACTCAAACAACTGCTATGTCTATTTTTATTCTTGACAGAGCAATAACTTTTTTAAATTAATTGTATAGGGTTATTCATTTGTACGGTTATAATTATTGTCTGTTGTCTTGCCGCATTGTTTTGAATTTATTTTTGAGTTTCAATTTTTGTTACTGTGGGGCATTATAAGTTTTAGTCTTCTGTCAACCACCCAGCTTGCTCTAATGGGGTGATATATGAATCAAAAGAAATGAAGGAAAAACATTAATCAAGACAAACAAAGGTGCTTTGCTATAGGGGTTTAAGAAAAAGTTTCTCACATATTTTGTATAGAGAAGCCAAATGGGTTGACAATTGAGTCAACACAAGTAAAGGGGAAGCATTCTGCACCATACTTAAGATAATAGGTTAGTCCAGGTCAGACTATCTGTGACATAGAAAGCTCTGTTTCTGAGAAGACACTGGCCAGGGGCTGGAGGGGGGGATCGGGCAGAATTATTGAGAATTCCCCTTTCTGCCCAAGGAACATTTGTTGACTGAAGCCACCTCATTCTGCGTAATGGGAGGGCCAGTCTTGTGTTAAATGCCCAGGTGTGTTTAATATCAAGCTCCTTTAGCCCTTACGTATTCAGTTAATATGTCTAGAGTCTAATCGTCAACAAAAAGAACAATAATTGACAGCATTCTATCACAAGTTGGGCCAAAACTCAGGAAATGTCATACTTTAAGAACATTAGCCCTTCCTTTCAGTTGTCCTGAAAACACCAAGGTCAGTGAGGAAGGAGGGATATAGAGAAACAGTTGCATTTCAGCAAGTGATGGTTTAATCCAGTGGTGTCCAACCTTGACCCTCCAGATGTTCTTAGACTACAACTCCCAGAGGCCTTCACCACCACCTCTGCTGGCCAGGATTTCTGGGAGTTGAAGTCCAAGAACATCTGGAGGGCCAAGGTTGGACACCACTGGTTTAATCCTACCCCTCTGTTCTAGATCAATGTTTGGAAAAATTACTTTCTCAAACTATAGGTGCCAGAATCCCCCGACCAGGATGAAGGAGTGTGCCACCAACCAACCTTTCCTGGAGGACAAACTGGAAAATGGTTTACTAGTGTTCTTGTTATGCCTATTTAAATGCAAATTGCTGTTACGACCAAAGAGAAACAGCCTGCCTCTAGGACACATCCAGGTTAAAAACAATCCAGTAAATGCTCAGCAGTAGGGCTGAGCAAGATCTCTAATGGATGGGGCTTCTGCTGCACACAGTTCCTTGACTTCTCCGAATTTGCATCAAATGCTTTCCATGGGGAGGGTGGGGACTGGAAATGGTTGCATTTTTACAGATCACAGAATATAATGTGCTTTGGCACATGTATTCTTGGCATAAAGATTATGCTATGGATTTGTGTTCATCTTGCTTATCTATTTCTGGATAGCAATTCAAAGTATATTTCACCATGGGCTACTGCCATACAATAACCATTCATCTCAATGAAGTGTGTGCTTATATCTCTGAAATGAACAGTAATGGCAAAGTAGTTGTACCATACCACACTCTCAAATGTTAAATGAACAGACTTGGACAGCTGTTAAGGGAGCACAGACTCCATCAAGGGAAACAACAAGTTCTTAGGATCTAAACCATTACACTTAAGGTCAACATTAAAGGGAATGCATATTCCCTGTGACTATCCTGCTTTTCCTCCCAGAAGATGATTTATTGTGCATTCAGATGTGCAAATTAAGCCTGAGTTTACTACCCAGTGACTAATCAGAAATCAAGTTAAATCCAAAATACAGAGGTGAGGAAAAGCACAAGCTATGACTTTCAGATGAATTTTATCACTTGAGGGAGCAATTCTTCCAGATATATGTTACTGTATATGTATCACCTAGTTTGACTCTTAGGAGGACTACTATTATACGTGCAAAGAACCACCCCTTGTTAGTATTTTAGCTTTAAAGGATTTCTCCTTACAAACTGCTCTGTGCTGCTAGACACAGAACAGTCCTCTGGAGAAAATCCTTGGTATCTATGCTAAAAGACTTCAGAGTGCTTCAAGAAAGGATCTAGAGAAAAAGGCAGGGGGCGAAGGCAAAACGGAATAAAGTATCAAAGCCACATCCTCACTTTTTCTTTAGTCTTCTCTCAAATAATGGCAGGTTTTCTTTGCATCAGACCATGCAAAATACAGGCTGTTTGCAAACGGTCAAAATATTTTTCCACAGGGAGCTGGGCATAAAGTAATGCCACCATTTTGCTGTGCAAGATTAACTGTTGGCTTGGGGGTTTGATTTCCTTCAAGTCTGGATTTTAAATATTGCATTTTTATCTAATTTTTTTTTTAAAGAATTGAGGATAAGTAGGAGAGGAACAACATCAAAGGAGTTCAGTGACACCTTCTCAATATTTGCACAAGTATTGTAGTCCGAAGAAGAATCCCTCTCAGGTGTACCAGATGCTGTTCTTAAAATGTCACCCTGTGAGTTTTTATTTTCACCTTCATGAATCGTGTTATTGCTTGAAAGGGTTTCTTTGATTTGCCTGACCTTAGTCTTTCCTTTGGGTACATAATAAATTCCAGAAGCTCGTAGAAGGAAATATCGCCTTTTCCAGGACTTCTTTCCATCTTCTTTTAAATAAAGGGCCCCTTCTACTTCTGGTACAATGACAGATGTACCACAGAAGCTTTCCTGTGGAATGAAAATTGGGTTATACAAAGAAGAAGCAGAACACAAGTAAGTGCTAGTTTTGTATCTAGTTCAACCACTAAGGTTGGCACCTAAGAGACTGGCCGAGTCTGGCATGGTGGGAAAACTGCCTCTCTACTTGTTCTAGGAGTCAGTGGGAAAAGCCACTGCTCCACCTAGCTCAGTATTGTCTCCACTCATTAATAGTAGTTCACTGTCTTTAGATATGAGTTTCTCCTAGATCCAGCTGGAGATGCCAGGGATGACTCCACCACTGACCAATGGCGTTGCACAGAAATACCCCAGTGAACAAGAGCAGCAGGCCGGCCACATTCCAAACAATAAATGTCTTCATAATGATGATTAAAGAAAGTTCAAGAAAATAAATATCAATGTATTTTTTTAATGCCGTGGTGCAATGTCACCAAGACTTACTAATTTTTCTCTAAGACTGAAACTGGAGGAAAACATTGTGCTATCACCGCCTCTCTTTAGTTTTACTGATTGAACAATGCACCTCCAAACTTCTCAATCACAAAAGAACTGAGCAAGTCCACAAAAGGTTCAACTCTTTTATCTTTTTGATTAGAATTTTTTTAACCATGTTACTAATTAGCTTACCACTGCAAAGGTGCCTGTCTTATCACCCATCAGTTGTGCTTTATGAAGAACCTCTAGTAAAGAGATTATCATGGTCTGTACCTTCTGCCCCTCAGAAGGCATTACTGCCCCAATACTTTCGCCACCAAAACCGTGGAATACTTATTGTAACCAAGGCAGGGGATGATAGTCCATAAAAGCTCAGGCCACAATAAACTGAAGAATCTGAGAGCCAACATGGTGCCAGCAGAACAAAAAAGCACCTCCCAGCCATGTATTCCTGTGGAAACCTGCTGCTAACAGATATTGCTGAAACAATGGTGGTAGGCATAAAAATGTGACTTTAACATGTACAGTGAATGATGTTCGCAACAACTGGAACCATATCTTGGTGTTATAAGGTGCTACACAATTCTTCACTGTTTTGTGACTCAAAAATATTAGCAAACCTGCCTTTTTGAAAAAAAATTAAAAACGTCAACGGCAGTAATTTTCAAAAATTGCCAAATGAATGTTAAATAGATACTTTAATTTTAAAAGATTAAAAAACAAGTTTGAATCTGAAAGGTTATTTTAATCAGTCTTAGAATTTTCGGCAAACCTTTCCTGTCTTGTCTGGAAGAAAAAGTGCAGCACCTGCTATTTTTGGTATGTTTAGGGAAATCTGCAAGTTACAGTGCCTTTGAATATGCTGCTTTTGTGCCTTTTTGTGCTAACTCATAGACTATTATTACCGGACCAGTTTGCCTAAGGAATAATACAAAACAAGCTTCCTGATCTTGGAAATGAGCAAATCAATTCTGTTTGCCCACCTCAAAGACGTCAACATTAAGCTGCCTACATTTTCACACATTAGTCTGAATAGCACATTTTGTTTTCAAGAGTGTATTTTGCACACACCCTTCTGAATTACTGCCATGCTACAATTTCCTGTTTTTCTATAATAACAAATGAAGAACTGAAACATTTCTGTTCTATTTTGGGGGCAAAGGAGTCAACATAAGTTTCATCATAACCAAACGCAGCTTCCCGCTCTTGGAGTATGGCTCACCTCCAGTAAAGCTTCTTTGCTTTTTTCATTCATTTCCTTGTTTTCATTTTTTTCTTTGTTTGCCAAGTAGAAATTCTAATTAGAAATAGAGAGAAAAGATGGTGACAGTAAGACAATAACCATAAACTGAGCATGCTTCTTTCTCTCTCTCTCTCAACACAGTGGACAACAACGAGTTTACAATTTACCAGATGTGCATGGGTAATCACGCAAGCATTTTTTGCTTTCTGCAGGCTGTCCAGTGCATGATCAATTGCACAATCAAGGCATGTAGCAAGGAGCCCACAAAATATCACACACTGCTACCATGACTGTTCTGCATGTCACAATTTTAGTGGGATTCTGGCCAAATGATATTACTTCAGAGTAGGAACGTGAACCTGTCAGGATCTTGCTGTCCAAGAGAAACTGAGGCGGGGGAATCCTTCTTTCCTCGCATTTGAGATTTCTCTGCACAAGAATTTATTTGCGTATGTATTGAAAACTCTCATGATGTTCTCTGCCCCCTCCCAGGAATAACACCCATCTGCATAGCATTACAGCAATTCCTCTGCAAAACATAACCTTTCCTACACAAGATTCCCTGGAAAAGACACTGGTTTGACCAGAATTTGGCAGTTTCTTGCACAAAAGAACAAACAGACAGACGGATAAAAAAGAAGACCAAGATCTCATTTTGAAATCTCATTCGTATAGGGTTGTGTGTGAGAAGTCTCAGCACGGTAAGGCATAGGAAATCTAGAATTGGGCATTTTTCAAATGTTGTTCACATCCCTACTTCAAAATATACAGAAAGATTCCAGTCAACATGGGCAAGTGAAGCTTTGAACTTTGAGCAACTCTAAAAGGATTCGTATTAACAGACATCTGCCTTGGGCAGTCCCTCAGTAGTGACACACCAATAAAAGAAAAACACAAGCCCTAGTTCTGTTGCTTCTCTTCATAATTTCTTATTGTTAGGTCTCCTCAGCCCACTTGCGGTGACCCTATGAACGAGCAAACTCCAAAATGTCCCGTCCTCAACAGCCCTGCTCAGCTCTTGCAAATTCAAGCTTGTGGTTTCCTTTAGGGAGCCAATCCATATCATATTTGGTCTTCCCCTTTTCCTGCTGTCTTCAACCTTTCCCAGCTTTATTGTCTTTTCCAGAAAACCCTGCCTTCTCATCATGTGCTCAAAGTAGGAAAGCCTCAATTTCAACATTAAATGTTAAGTAGGATTGACCACAGTTTACATGCTAGAATACCAACAATGTTGCTATGGCATTCAGCTCTGAAGAATATTTTGAATGATTTACTCAAACTCAGTTATAAAAAACTGGATTCATTCCTAGCATCAGCACATTGTCTTGTGCTGTTTCATATAATCCCATCTGAGTATAGCTTTCCATCACAAACTAATTTTTTGGAGATGTTTGGACATGATGCCAAACCATGTTCTGCTTGTGTTTAGAACACAATGAACCACAAACAAGAAAGTGCAGGCATCTAGAGACAAAAATCTAGACAAGAATCACCTTGTGGTGCCAAGGTTTCAAATTTTGTGTTTATAAAGTGTTAAAATAATTGAGGGTGATATATAGAAAAAGTAAACCTGCAAATGAAACCACTTTTAAAATTGAGGCTTGAGCAATAGTTTATTATAATCATTTCAAAACAGATAGCTAGCTCCAGATAAGCAAGGTCACTGTATTACAGCAATCCTGCTAGTTGAACTTGTTTTGCAAATGATAACCAAACATAAAATGCAGGACTTATAATATCCACTCTTTGTGGTTTCAAGGTCTTGGATATACAATATTATGTCATGGCAATATTCTAGCTTTCTAGGTTTCTGGGGATCAGGCTCTTTTATGCTACCAACTTTTGTTCCTTCAAGCCTTGCAAAATTTTAGTCAAAACAATAACATAATTTGCCAGATACTGAGTCACAAATTATTGGAAGTATAAAAACTGCAGAGACAATACAATTTCTCATTGAAAAATTATTCTTGGATCTCTAAGCTTTTGACTTCCTAGCCTTGCAGAAAAGTTTGTTAGAAGAGAAAGGTAAACAACAGAATGAATTATAAATATAGGGAGGTAAGACAGGCAGACGCAGGCAGTTCAGGCACTCAGGAATTCATCACATCATCACAACTCCATTCCACATGGACACCAGACATCAAAGAGCAACAATCGTGTAGCAGCACAACAGCTTCATTTCCGAACACCACAACACAATAAGCAGGGATTTTCCTCCATAGTTACAAATTGGCCGGGATGGAGGAGCACTTAGAGTAAGTTTTTTTGTATGTACATTAGAGTCATTTTCTTTAATATATTTTTAAGAACTTTAATATTTTAAGATATGTACTCCCAGCTTTTAAATGTGCCTTATTAGGCTACATGCTCCTACATTTTTAAAATATAATTGAAACATTATCATTATTTTTTAAAATTAATTTTAAAAGATATATTATTTTATTTTTGATTGAAATCTGGCTTAAGTATCTACCTGTAACTTAAATTCAGTTTTCATATGTTTTTAAGCATTTGTGACTACAGTTTTCTTCACAGCTGTAAGACTTTTGTATTTTTACAACTCTGAAGTATTTTTGTGCTTAGGAAACATAGAAACAATGTAGATAAATAGAGCTTATAGCATTAGACGAGCTGATATTGCCTGGAATTACTGAAACCATGAAAATACTTATACCATGATACTTAGATAAATTTTAATATGATTGTCAATGATTATTTGGTTTCATTCTGGAATTAACCCTTAATTTGGACAAATATGAGCTGTGATGAATGCAGGCTTTTAATTTTTTCCTAGAGGACTCATGAGATGGCCAAAGTATTAGAGCCTCAGCTTCAGGATGTGCTCACTGGAAGGATAGATCCTGAAGCAGAGGCTCCAGTACTTTGGCCATCTCATGAGAAGAGAAGACTCCCTGGAATAGAGTAAGTTTTTTTGTATGTACATTAGAGTCATTTTCTTTAATATATTTTTAAGAACTTTAATATTTTAAGATATGTACTCCCAGCTTTTAAATGTGCCTTATTAGGCTACATGCTCCTACATTTTTAAAATATAATTGAAACATTATCATTATTTTTTAAAATTAATTTTAAAAGATATATTATTTTATTTTTGATTGAAATCTGGCTTAAGTATCTACCTGTAACTTAAATTCAGTTTTCATATGTTTTTAAGCATTTGTGACTACAGTTTTCTTCACAGCTGTAAGACTTTTGTATTTTTACAACTCTGAAGTATTTTTGTGCTTAGGAAACATAGAAACAATGTAGATAAATAGAGCTTATAGCATTAGACGAGCTGATATTGCCTGGAATTACTGAAACCATGAAAATACTTATACCATGATACTTAGATAAATTTTAATATGATTGTCAATGATTATTTGGTTTCATTCTGGAATTAACCCTTAATTTGGACAAATATGAGCTGTGATGAATGCAGGCTTTTAATTTTTTCCTAGAGGACTCATGAGATGGCCAAAGTATTAGAGCCTCAGCTTCAGGATGTGCTCACTGGAAGGATAGATCCTGAAGCAGAGGCTCCAGTACTTTGGCCATCTCATGAGAAGAGAAGACTCCCTGGAAAAGACTCTGATGTTAGGAAAGTGTGAAGGCAAGAGGAGAAAGGGACGACAGAGGATGAGATGGTTGGACAGTGTCATTGAAGCGACCAGCATGAATTTGACCCAACTCCGGGAGGCAGTGGAAGACAGGAGGGCCTGGCATGCTCTGGTCCATGGGGTCACGAAGAGTCGGACGCAACTAAATGACCAACAACAACAACAACAACAACAGAGGTCTACAAAGCTCCGTAGGGCTCTTGGAAGGATGTTCAGGACTCAGTTTATCTGACTTGATAACTGGTAGAAAATAAAAAGCATCTGAAATCACATTTACTTTCCTAAATATGGATCTTAAAGTAACACAATTTAAGAGATAGGAAAAAATTAAGACCTAATAAAGCACACAGTTTATTAGCTACATGACTGAAAGAGATCTTTCTCTATATTAGTATATTCCAACAAGATTCAACACCGCACTAGCAAGTTGTAAAACCAGAAAGCCTTTATGGTATATTTCTTTATTTAAATGGTGTGTATTAATGAGGCGTAAGTAGGCACTCAGAGCCCAATCCTAACCACATCTACTTGATAAAGTCCCATTAATTTCAATAGAGCTTTAACTCTAAGGAAGTGCATAGAGGGTTATTAGGCCCTTTTCCCACAGATCCTTTTAATTTCAATGAGGCTTGCAAAGGAAATGTATGCCATTACAATTAATATTCCCTAGAAAGATCCCCAATGCTGTTTGCCTTTGTCTGTGTTTGTGTATGCGTGAATAAGCCCAAATCCCTTCTTGCTATTTTTGCCACTGAATAAACTCAAAACAGCTGCGAATAGCTTAACTGGGGGAAAAGAAGAATCTCCTCACACTACAAGCAATTTATATCTGAGCATCTGGCATTTATTTAGGGTGGAAAACAGACCACCCAGAGTCAATAGACTTAGAGCTATAGGCAATATTTTGATACTGAAAAACAAGAAGGGTAATTGACAATGGTTTTTGATAATAAAATACAACTTTGCTTCTCGAGTCCATATTAAAATAAGGTGTTTTTTTTTGTATCTCAGAGCTCATCCAGGTGGAACATTTTGTTCTCCACAATATACTCTATTTGTCACATACATTGTCAGTATTATTCCCACCATCCATATGACATAAGGCTTGTCTTGGTATGTTCAGTAAGTCAATCTGTGCCTTTACATGCTTTTGTGTTTTCCCCTCCTTCAAAGGCAGGGATTATTTTTGTTCCATGGGGCAGTGTTTAGCACAATGGTACTTTAATTAAGTTTATATTTGTGCACAGAGTTATCGATTAGAGGCAATCAATTAGTAAACACACACACACACAAATACACAAAACTCAAGCAGAGATGCTTTAACACAGAAAAGAATTTCTTATATATTTCTCAAAGGATATCTAGACTTTCCTGCAGAGAACAGGTTTTTTGGGAAGTGGCTACTATTAGTGAAGTTTAGATCTGAATTTCTGTGAATTCAGAAAACAGGGACAAACTGGAAAAAGGGGTGTGGAACCTTTCTCCCATCTGGAAGAGCCCTCACTTAATAATCTCTGGTTTCTGTGATTGTTTATTTAACACAGATCTCTTCCCTCCTTGAAACTGAAGAGTGCTTGCCACTTATCATCCTCCAATAAACAACCAAGTAGGCCAAAGGAAGGGGTTCTAGTTTGTACATGTGCATTTATCATTGTATGCCCTCCAAAAGATTACAGTACCAATGAAGAACACCACCTGTATGAAATATGTCTTGCTGAGGATTTTTTTTTCTAGTAGAAAGCGCAAAATGAGACAACACGAATGTGGGGGAATAGTGTCTGACAGGCCAAAATTTCTCTAAGTCAACAAATGAAGTACTTAAAATATTTCTATTGCCTTCCATCAATGTGAATTACAAACGGTAATTAAAAACCTAATACGATAAACAAAAGAAAGGATAAAACAGCATCAGCTTTATCTATAACAAGCAGGGGAAAATAAATGAAAACAGAAAAGGCACATCAACCAGGTTAATAAATCTTTTCAAAAGGCCTGGGCCAACTGATGTGCATCTTGGCCCCAGTCACATCTTCATGGGAAGAGTTTGCCACAGGGTTCCACCACATCTCTCCCCATCAGAACCTCATTTTAAAATCTATTCCAATACAAAGAAGAACTGCTAGATGGCACCACATAATGCTGTTAGATTAAATTGCTTCATTATGAACATGTGGCACAAAATAGGCATGCGTATGAATGTGCGTGCACATATGTTTTTTTGTTCTGTCATGCTTTTGCATACTGTCTGCAACACCATCGTGCACACGTGCACAAGTAAAAAGATTCTTCCCATCAGTGTTGTTATGAATTATGCCACAAAAACATGGAATATAAATGCATAAAACAAACATATATATGTAGAGAGAGAGAGATGAGAAAGGGAACTCAGGTTCCTGATTATATCACTAGCCTCGTTTTTTGAAACATAACTTAATCTTACATTCACTCTCCCTTTGTTACCTGTTTTACCATTCTCTAATCAAACAGCATTAATCAGGATGAGTAGAGTAGGAAGATTCTGCTGCTTCTATTTTTGATTCTCACTGATTGTTCCTTTACATTATGTGAAAATGTGGTTTGCCAATAGGCCCTATGCACTGAGTTCTTTTCTAAAAGACTACAGTACATGATTCATTCTAATTTTTGAACTGAAAAATTGCTGGGGGGGGTCACAATTCATCAGCTGACATCTTTCCTTTGTTTTCCTTTACAAGGCAGAGCAAACAAAAATTGAACTAGTCCAACTGAAGGTCAGAAACATATATCCCAGAAAGCATCAGTGTTAACATTTCTCGATTAATTTTAGCCTCCTGAGACAATGTTACACTGCAGGACTGTATACAATTAGTTATTCCAGGTCATCCTTCATCCACCAGTACACAGGAAGGTTGGTGGGTATGAATGAAGCAGCTGTTGTAATTATCTGTATTTTCATTGTTGAGTGACTGCACCTGACTCCTGCATATTAGCCACACAATATCCAGTTAATTAACTGAAAGAGGAGTGGATTCTCTGGTTCACTGGCCTATAACCAGACTTGTAAACTAAATGAAACTTCCTATAAGGAACATATATGTCACTGAATAACGCCTGAAAGTCTAGGATGATAATCACCCCATTCCACCAAGTGAAGGGTTGGTGCTTTCAAGAATCTGATTCTGAAACCTCATATAACATGTTCTAGGTCACCCCAATCTTTAACGAACATGCATTAACTCGGGTGCACCAATAATTATAACAGCAGGGCAACAGCCAATGTAAGGTAGATTTATTTTGCTATGCTAAAAATCAGCTTAGCACCCCACCCCCATAATATTCATCTTTCAAAAGTCCTGGCAGCTGTATTACAAAATACAGTCAGGCTTTGTATGTTATAGAAATATTTTAAAGATAGGAACTTAACACAGCTATTCTAGCTTTCAATCATAAACTCATGATCTTTAATGCAGTGGCTGAGATCCAGTTGCTTTAATTTACACCTCGTGAGGCAGATCTGTTGCAGCAATTTTTCAGAAATTAACAATTTATAATTCTTCCCCTCAAAGGTCCCAAAGGCCCACTGGGATCCCTTTTGTCATAGAAAAGCCACTGAGAGGCTGTTAGGTAAACAAAATTTTTAATTTCTGGAAATCTCCACCGCTAGTAAAGCCACCCGTGTGGTGGCAATTTTTGTAAATTGAAAACTTGACCCTTTGTCTCACAGCCCCCAATAGCTTCCTCACAATGAAAGGGAGGGTGAAATTGGAATTTTTTAATATCTGAAAGTTTGCCACAGCTCATGAGTTTCATGTGGCGTACGTTAAATTAACAGGATTTCAGCCAGAGTCACAGCAGTGGTTCAGTGGAACACAGTCTCTTAACTTGATTCTCCTCAGGAGAACAAGCTATGCAGCCAATGGAGAAAGAGGAACATCTACATGCTCCTCTGACAGAGAGTGAACAGCATGGAAGGGTACAGTGTGGCTTCTGTTTTTCCTCACTTTTTAAGCTAATGTAAAAGGGGAAGTCAGCTGCAGACACTTCCTGTAGCCTTATTAAACACCAAATTGTACTTCAGTACTTCACTCTATCTAACAGTATCTAAGTCTGAGGTTCTAGAAGTCAACGCACAAACCCAAGGGTAGGGGAAACTTTCGATCCTTCCAGGTGTTTGGACCTACAGCTCCCTCACGCCCAACCAGCTGGAAATTTACCTGCCTTAAATATTAAGATTATCCTCTGATTTTTTTCTCTTGAATGCTGTAGTCCACACTGTGAAATAGGTGGCTACCACACAGTGCTCACCCATGAGGGCGAATGCAGCATACCTCAAGTTCAGGCATCCTTCAGCCAGCTGAACCTTGTCTGCCTCCTTAATAGAGGGAGAAGGCCTCTCCATATATATGTGTGAGTACCTGCCTGCTTCCAGGTTTGGGAGAGTGTGTTTGTGTATGTATTTTACTATCACTGTATGAATGCTCTAAATCATATCACGGTCCAGTATTTGCCTATGCCATTGTTATTTACCTAAGGGGTTATTTACCTGAGGGTTTTTAAACACAGCATACTTTTCACTTTTCTCCAAGAACAGGATCTTATTCGCTGTGTCCCGAGTCCAATCAGATAAAACACCAATCACATTTTCATGATCTTCAAAAAATCTTTCTAGCGAGAACAAAAACAAAATATTAAAGCAAAACGCAAAAGCAAAGTGTGCTGCTTATATACTGCCCCATAGCACTTAAATCACTCTCTGGGTAGTTTAATTTCATTATGCAGGCTACACATTGTCTCCCCAGTGAGCTCAGTACTCAGTTTACCAACCTGAGAAGGATGGAAGGCTGAGTGAACCTTGATCTAGCTACCTGGGATTGAACCTGGCCTGTGAGGAGAGTTTTGGTTGCAATACTGCAGTGTACCACTGTACCATGACACTCTGAAGAAAGGAAGGACAGAAGGATGGAAAGGAAGGGAAAGGAGGGGGGAGGGAGGAAGGAAGACGAATTGATCTGCACATGCATTACCCCAATACAATATACAGTGGTGCCCCGCTTGATGACGATAATGCGTTCCAGCAAAATCGCTGTACAGCGAAATCGTCATCGAGTGGAAAAAAACCCACTGGAATGCATTGAAAAGAGTGGAAAAAAATCCACTGGAATGCATTGAAAACCGGTCAATGCATTCCAATGGGGAAATACCTGATTGTCCTGCAAAGATCCTCCATAGAGCGGCCATTTTCCAATGCCTGTAAAGCAAAAATAGGCCAGCAAAACAGTGGGGAGCCATTTTGCAAACCGCCGATCAGCTGTTTTTAGATCGTTGCTAAGTGAAAAATGGGTTCCCGAAGCAGGGAACTGATCGTCGGGAAGCGAAAAAACCCCATTGAACCATTGTTTTGCGATCGCTATATACTGATTGCAAAAAACTCATCGTTAAGTTTTTTGCAATCGCTATTTTTGCAATTTCCTTGTTAAGCATGGTAATCGTCAAGCGGGGCACCACTGTATTCCTATTTTAAAAGCTAATTAATTTATGGCTATAAAGGGTTAAATGAGATCGCTTATACTTCTTAAATGAGAAGAAAGTTAAGTTCACAAAAATACAAAAGCTTCCAGATTTTTTAAAAAAGTTTGCATATTAATTTCCTCCGTTTTTCAAGATGCACCCTGAAAAGAACTAATGTGATGGCATGTAATTATTATTGTTATTCCAGTGATAGAGATGCTTTCCAAAATGCTCCACTCCACAGATATTCATGCATCCGAACCATTAACTGAAATAGGACATCACAAAATGGGAAACCCATTATTTAATACAGAAAAAGATGAGTGAAGGACAGCAGCAGCAGAATGTCAGCTGATAATGGCAGCATCAAGTTCATTTCTGGTGAAGCAGTAAAAGCAGGCATAAGAACCAGAAATTGCACGATGCGACCTACCAATTTGTAGCTCTGGGTATATTTCATAAAGGCACCAGTCCAAATTGCAGTCACAGTGGGTTTTTTCAAAGAGATTGTCCAGAATATCACGTGCTACTTGCCGCTCATCCACCATCAGAGACTTTGTGCTGTTATCATTCATGTGCACCTTGACAACAAGCTGGGAACAGAATAATGGATGAGTCAGTCAATTTCAGCATGCATTGAAAAACTAGTGTGCTGAAGATTCTGCTTCAGTTGATAAGGAGTGATAATTGTTACAGATTCAAATGCACTGTGTATCAAATGATACATGGTGCATTTGAATCTGAAAACAAGGCTTCCTGGAATATTAACAAACCATCCTCCTCCCCTTTATACATTTTACTTGGATTTTTAAACAATCTAAAACAACCTTTACATAGGAAGGAGCCATTGCATCATCACATTCAAAGTAGAGTCTACATGAAGACTTGGTAAATTTTTGATTTCTCAGCCCCTGTCTTATGCAAAGATGACCAGATCTTCAGAAATGTGTATGTACGTTACAGAAAGTGTTGTCAGTAAGAGGCATATTTAAGCAATGAAAATACAGTCAGACTGTCTTGTCTACCAGGTCTTCTGTCCAAGAGACAGGAATGACAAGAGTCTTTCACTCTTATAATAATGTTATTTTTAATCACCAAGAGCGCTTCCAGTGTCCATCTGACAAACCCCACAGTGTGGCAGTACTACAACACATGTATATTATACAATCTAAGTAGCCTTTACAAGAACAAGATTGAGGTGAACAATCGGCAGTAGCTGAACATGCCCTAAAACAAGCTGGACATGAAATTCTGTTTCAAAATACTGAAGTACTGGACAACACCAGCAATCATTATGTTAGACTGCACAGGGAAGCCACTGAAATCCACAAACGCCAGCAGTGCTTCAACAAAAAAGAAGAAAGTCTAAAACTCAACAAAGCCTGGCTCCCAGCACTGAAAAATACAGCCTGCAAAAGGTCAACAAACTCTACCCAGGGATATTACCATAGAAAAGAAAGGCACTTGGCAACTATAGTTCTAAGACAGTGGGAACTCCTTTTCTGAGGTCACCACTTCTATCCCTTCATACTCTGAAACCAACAGCGTGCCATTTTCCACAAAGAAGCTGGATCTTGAGAAGATGGAGGGCCTGTTGGGTAGATGGTTCTCGTATCTGGGTTATGGGTATTCAGTCTGTTCTAACTTCTCTTGAAAGAGCAGGTGGATCATGTAGGGGTATTCCTGGATCCAGCTTTGGTGTTGGGCATCCAGAGGACCACTGTGGCTTTGAATCTCTTTACTAGCTTTGTCTGGTTTCTTAGCTGTAGCCATTACTGGATATAGTAACAGTGTGATCACAGCAGTCTACGCTCTGACAATCACAGAAAGGGAGTTCTCAGGTCTACTCCATGGTCACATTCCTACTCAGAGCGCTGTTAACTGCCTTATAAGTATTTTTTGTTTAGTCATTAAGTCGTGTCCAACTCTTCGTGACCCCATGGACCAGAGCACGCCAGGCCCTCCTGTCTTCCACTGCCTCCCGGAATTGGGTCAAATTCATGTTGGTCGCTTCAGTGACACTGTCCAACCATCTCGTCCTCTGTCGTCCCCTTCTCCTCTTGCCTTCACACTTTCCTAACATCCAACCCCTAAAATCTAGCAAGGAAACGCCTATTATTGCTATAAGTTATAATTTCTACTTTAAAAAATGGAAAACATTAGCATTTTAAATACTGGAAATTAGGTTTTCCACTTTGCAGTTCTGAGTGACTGCATTTAATTGTGTGATATCTTTTACGGATTTTCATTATTTTATTTTATATCTCCATATTATTATTTTATTGCATATTCAATTGGACTTTTTATTTGAACTGTAAACTGTCTGGAGATAAATAGTAATGAAGGGTGTTCTGCAAATTTCTTAAGATAAATGAATGAATGAATGAATGCATAACAGTCAGATCTTCATGGGAAACAGATATTACCAGCCTCATTCTACTTCCTTAGATGAACTTCTTTGCCAGTTGGGTATACTACTGGTTTAAAGTTGTTAGATGTACATCATTGTTGTTCTTTAGTCATTAAGTTGTGTCCGACTCTTCGTGACCCCATGGACCAGAGCATGCCAGGCCCTTCTGTCTTCTACTGCCTCCCAGAGTTGGGCCAAACTCATGCTGGTAGCCTCAATGACACTGTCCAACCATCTCGTGTTCTGTCGTCCAAAAAACACTTTCCTAATATCAAGGTATTTTCCAGGGATGTACATCATTAGACTACAGTATACAGTAATAAACTTTTCATAATGTCCAAGAAGCAGAGAAAACAGTACATGAAACGAGACAATCTGTGTTAGAAATAACAGAATTAAATCTTAACATTTTAGTGCCCTTACATTACCAAAAAATAAAAAATAAATAAAAAGCTACCTTTTTAACCTTAGCTTCCTTCATTTTTTCCAGCGCAAGTTTAATCTTGTCAGCTTTTGCTTGTGCTTCTTTCTCTTCCTAAATGAAAGATGAAGTAAAATTATACATATTTTTTGCTTTATGTATCTTTTTTAAATGCCAAATCCCACCAAGAAATACGCCTTGCCATTTCATAAGCCTTTCAACTTCTTTCTTTCTAAAATTTCATTTCAGAAGCTTTATTTTTCCTTTTATCCAGCCTTCAACATCTGCCAGGAAGGTAATCCTTCCTCCTTCCTGCCCTTCCCCTTTCCATTATTAGAGAAACTTATTTCTAGTAACTCTTAAACTTAGTTATATGAAATTCTGCTCTGCCAGTTGTTTCTGGTTGTTTTATTATGGACCACCATATATTCTTATCTAATGGCTATCCCACACCATTTTGAGGGGAAAATTCTCTCCTGCCATTTCTCCCTTTCTCATGACTCCTATCGTCATTCCGCTATTTTCTATAACTTTTGCCACAGTCTCTTGCACTGCTCTGAAATAAAGCTCTTCTTCACCCTTAAAATACAATTATCTTGAAAAGTGGCTTTCCACTTCAACAGAACTATCCATTCTTCAGCATGTTCATCAATTCTCATCATGGTATCCTCCGTAGAGAACCTGATGCCCGTCGCCAATGTTTCTTTCATTAGCAAAGTGGTGGAGAGGGTGGTGGCGGATCAGCTTCAGGCCCTCTTGGATGAAACAGATGCCCTGGATCCGTTTCAGTCGGGCTTCAGGCTGCAGCACGTACAGAAACGGCATTGGTCGCCCTGTATGATGACCTATTGAGGGAGGCTGACAGGGGTAAAATATCTCTATTGGTCCTCCTCGATATCTCAGTGGCCTTTGATACCGTCGACCACGGTATCCTCCTGGGGAGTCTCTTGAAGTTGAGAATTGGTGGCCTGGCGCTTGCCTGGCTCCGTTCCTTCTTGGAGGACCGTCCCCAGAGAGTACAGCATGGGGAGAGTGTGTCGGCCCCGTGGAATCTCAATTGTGGGGTTCCACAGGGGTCGATTATCTCTTCAATGCTGTTTAACATCTATATGAGGCCGCTGGGTGGGGTCATCAGGGGGTGTGGAGCCTTGTGTCATCAGTACACTGATGACACACCCGGTTCTACATCTCCTTTTTACCAACTGCAAGAGATGCTGTCCTGTCCCTCCAGCGCTGCCTGGGGGCCGTACTGCAATGGATGCAGGAAAATGGGCCGAGGCTGAACCCGGACAAGACGGAGGTGTTGAGGGTGGGTGCCCCCACCATTGGCGGGCTGGGTGACTCCCTCTCATTTGGGGGGGTGACCCTGGCCGCAAAGAGTGGGGTTCGCAGCTTGGGAATCCACCTGGACCCAGCGCTCATCATGGAGACTCAGGTGGCATCGGTGGTCCGTACTCCCTTTTTTCATCTGTGGCGGATAGCCCGGCTGCGACCCTATCTCGATGTGGGAGCACTCACTACCTTGGTACATGCGCTTGTAATCTCAAGATTAGACCACTGCAATGCACTCTACGTGGGGCTGCCTTTGAGGTTGATGCGGAAACTCCAGGTGGTGCAGAATGCGGCGGCCAGACTCCTGACTGGAGCAAGAAAATACCAACATATCTCTCCTATTCTGGCCGCACTGCATTGGCTGCCCATTCGGTTCCACATCGACTTCAAAGTTTTGATGCTCACATATAAGGCCTTAAACGATTTAGGACCTTGATACTTGGCGGAACGTCTACTCCCACCAAGTTCTACCCTTGTCACTCATGCGAGCCAGGAGGTGAGGCTGAGGAGCCTGACGCAGAGGGAGGCCCAGAAGGAAAAAACAAGAAACCAGGCCTTCTCGGTGGTAGCTCCTCGCCTCTGGAACAATCTCCCTCCAGAGATTCGCGCTGCCCCCTCGCTGGGTATTTTTAAAAGTCAACTAAAAACTTGGATGTTCAGGCAAGCCTTCCCCTCCAGTCAATATTTGCTTTTTCTCTTCTCTTTTCTTTGTAGTTCATTTTTCATTTTTTCCCATCTTGAAGTTTTTAATATTGATTGTAATAATTATTTTTTATTATTGCTATTATTGTTATATTATTGTATTATGACTTTGTAAGCCGCCTAGAGTGGTCATATCAACCAGATAGGCGGGATATAAATTGAATAAATAAATAAATAAATAAATAAATAATAAAATAAAATAAATAAAATAAATAAAATAAATAAATAAATAAAATAAATAAATGCCAAATGTTGGGGATTATATCTCCCAAACAGTATGACTAATGGTTGGGGATTATGGGAGTTGTAATTCAAAATACATCGAGGGCTCCAGATTACCTTAACTTTAAGGCAACACCTGAAAGTGAGAAAGGCCTATGAAGCTCTCCAAAATACAGAGTAAGAACCACACTGCTATTCTTGCATAGGGTTGTCTCGAGATAAAATATCCAATTTTGTTTTTGTTGATCTACAGAAACATGTTGGACTCTACTGATATCCACCCCTACACATAGAAAAAAAATCTTCTGAGGAAACCGAATTTCTTTCAGCATACTAGAGACTCACATTCAGCTTGCTATAAGAAAAATATCTACATTACTCTTTAAAATCAATAGCTTAAGAATCATTTTGAAACCAGATTCTTCCATTTGTTCACCTGAGTGAGTGGTACAGGATCTATGGCTGAAGGCAAGGGTGGAGGCGGAAGATCCAAGGCTAATTTTGCAGAAGGAGGTGGCAAATTATTTCCAACCTGTGTGATAGTAGCCTTTGGAAAACCTGGCTGATTCTCAGCAACAGCAGTAGCATTTAATGGAGGAAGATCCATAGCGGGTTTTGGGTAGCTGGAGGCTTCCTTCTTTCCTGGGAAAGTAGATTTTTCTACTTCACTTATGTCTGCTACAAGATCAGCCATTAATGCATCTAAATCAGTATCTTCCAGTGCATTTAAAGATTCTGTAAGGGGGAAAAAACAGGGTCATTGAGGAACATCAACAGGATTAGAAGCTTTTGCACAAATTGTCATGGCCACTGACTGCTTCCAGCTCTATTTCTTTGAGCACATTTGCCAATATTGTACTGGAAAAATGTGCATCTGCCTCTTTCTTTCTCTTCTCATGAGCATTAACTGTCAGGCTAAAATATCACAATTTAATTTGCATGTAAAATGAAGTATTATAATAACTAAGTATAAAATACAAAACCAAAGGGAAATTTAGGAAAAAGACTAAGTTAAAAAAAACCCTTAAACCTGAAACATAAACCTTTCCAAGGTTCTACCTGTATTATTTTACACCTTCAACGTTTCAAAATTAAGGGATCGTTTTGTGGTGGGATATAGCTTCTTGCTTCAAATGCTTTCCCTCTCAACAGTACTCTAGCCCCTCCTCTGCTCTTTGATCTGCCAGCAGGGACAAAACACCAAAACTTACCATTTAAATCTTTAAAACCAACCGCAAAATTAAATTCATCATTAGATGTTTTGGGGGATGGAGGTGGGAAAGTTTCCACTCCTAAACTCTGGAAGAAGAAAAGAAATATCAAAGTCATTTTTTTTTTGGCTGACAATGGATAAGTTAACAGTTAAGTCGCTAAGGTGACCAAAGATCAGAAACGTGTGTGCACTTCTACTGAGCATGTTCTGCATTAACAGAAGTATAGTTTCCAAATCCTACGAGGTGGTAGTTTCCCTCTATTAAGCACTGGTTAGGCCTCATTTTGAGTATCGTCTCCAGTTCTGGACACCATAATTCAAGAAGGATGCTGACAAACTGGAACAAGTTTAGAGGAGGGCAACAAGGATGATCAGGGGGCTGGAAAGCAACCCCTAGGAGGAAAGACTGAAAGAATGGCGCTTGAAAAAAGAAGACTGAGAGGAGATATGATCACACTTTTCAAATAATTGAAAGGCTGTCATACAGAGGAGGGGCAGGATCTGTTCTTGATCATTCCAAGGTGCAGGACACGCAACAATGGACTCAAGTTATAGGAAGCCAGATTTTGGTTGAATATCAGGAAAAACCTCCTAACTGTTAGAGCAATTAAATAGTGGAATCAACTACCTCGAGAGGTGGTAAGCAAGGTTTCTACTAAATTGGGCAGGCACATGCATGAACACAACTCTGCTTCCCTCTGTGTAGCCCTCTTCCTTCTGCATGAAGCGACTGTGTTAGGTTCCAGTTGTGATGGAACCTGGGGGGGGGGCCAGAGGCGAAGATGTGCGAAAGAGGCAGAGGCCTGCGCAGTGGGGCTGAAAATTAGAGAATACACTTGTGGTGAGTGCTCCAACACTGGAGGCATTCAAAAGAAACTTAGACAACCACCTGGCAGATATCCTTTGATTTATATTCCTGCATCAAGCAGGGGGTGGACTTGATGGCCTTATAAACCCCTTCCAACTTTATGATTCTATGATTCTTTCACACACAAGCTTAACTATTTTATGATAACAGGGCTATATTCCTATAACCACTTTCCCCAAAAAAACTTTCCTCACCTTTAACATCAAAAAAATCTTTAACTTCACATGTTACAAAAATAATAACACTTGGATTGTTTATCACATGAATTGGGTAAATGAAGGAGAGAAACATACTTGAAAGCCTGTAGCCATTTGCTCAGGAACTTTAGCTAATCATGGTTCCATATCTGTGAACTAACTAACTAACTAACTAACTAACTAACTAACTAACTAACTAACTAACTAACTAACTAACTAACTAACTAACTAACTAACTAACTAACTAACTAACTAACTAACTAACTAACTAACTAACTAACTAACTAACTAACTAACTAACTAACTAACTAACTAACTAACTAACTAACTAACTAACTAACTAACTAATTATTTATTTATTTATTTATTTATTTTAAAGTGGTCTCCTGAACTCCTGGGGCCCTCCAGACCTCTCTTATAACAATGTCAATAAGAATTTTGCTCAAAAAGTCCTCTTGTGACCTTTGGTAGTTATTCTGTCATATTTTGGGCCTCCAGCAGCCCTGCTGCCTCAATTAGAAAATGGCCACTAGGGGGCACAAGAGAGCCTTCTCTGTTTAAAAAGAGTATTTAAAAGAAGATGGGGGAGTTGAGAGCAGATGAGGTCCCTTGGGCTCAAGGTTGGTATGTGGCCCTTGGACCTCCTGATGTTGCCCATTCCAGTATATATCATGTCATTCTTTAGTGTGGACTACATTTATAAAAAAACAAAAACAAAGTATAACATTTTGTTTGTTTTTCTGACACTGCCACAATATCACTGATACTGTATATTGTTATACTCTAGTGATTGTCAGCATGTATTGATCTTCCGTTAAGGCCTTAAGGGCCAGCCACACTTTTGTCATTCTGCGTGTTTGATTTGTTTTAAATAGGAACTGTGAGGATAGGGTATTAAATAAGGAACACACTACAGTGTATTCCAGTAGCAGCTTCTATGTATGCCTCTGAGGAATGCAGGATTGAGACAAGCATTTTCCTCCTGAATCTCAAAATACTCAGAACTATAAATGTACACAAATATACACATTGTTGTATGTGTCCACTCAGAAAGAAGAACTCCATGGAGTTCAGTGGAACTTACACCTGCAAGTTTGTGGAGGTTAATAAACTTTCTTTCTTTCTTTCTTTCTTTCTTTCTATGCTGTTTAATTTTTACAGACATACAATATAGTTCAAAGAGAATTAACTAGAAATAATATTATTTTTCCTGCCAAGAACCATTGTGATCTCTTCAAATCTCTTCCCAGTTAACCTCTGCTCTTTTTCAAAACATTAGATTTTCATATACTGTATTTCCCCAAGGCTAATAATAACAGAAACAATACTTGGCATGAAGAATTAATTTTTACACACATACAATATAGTTCGAAGAGAATTAACTAGAAATAATATTATTTTTCCTGCTAAGAACCATTGTGATCTCTTCAAATCTCTTCCCAGTTAACCTCTGCTCTTTTTCAAAACATTAGATTTTCATATACTGTATTTCCCCAATAACAGAAACAATACTTGGCATGAAGAATACAGCACTTCGTTTTAAAAGCTAACGTTAAGGAAAATGATATACAATCAACCTTAATGCAATCAACAAAGACAGAAAAGCTGGAAAAAAGAATTTACTATGCATCATTTCAAGCTATTTAAGATTATAAAAGTGGGCCTGAATGAGCCTACCTAAATGGCTGAAGACTAGCTGCCTGCTGATGTTCAATCGGTTAATGAAATCAGCTCTATAACATTAGTTTGTTATGCACTGGTTCCTTTCCCCAGGATCTTTTCCTTTATTGTTCCTAGTTCCTCTACTTTTGGGAATTCCATCTTCTTCTATAAGTGAGAGCAATACCTCGAGTATTGTATTGGGTAGTTTAGGCCAAAACAAATGCAAAATATTCACCTTTATAGAAAAAGAAAAACAAGCCTCTAGATAAATTTCAGATTGTGCCTTAAGCTTAGAATATTAATTTACAAATCATGTATAATCCCAGAAAGAATAGCTAAAAATATTCAAAATTGGATGAAACAATTAATTGTTTACTTTCTTCTCTCCCTCAGCAAAAAGATTTGTTTTGTTTCGATACAAATATTGCATAAGACTGATACTGGCTGTGTTGCAATGCTTTTTTTAAAATTTATATACCACCCGATTAGTGAATTCACAGTACTCTAGGCAAAACTACAACCCCTATCTGCTTCATTCCCATAAAAGCATAACATAACCAAAATGGTGATATAACCACTTGAATGCGGTGGTCTACAGAAACCTGAAGTTTTGTACTATTTACTCTAGATAAGGTTATTTCACAGACAATGTGGAAGCATCAAGTAAAAATTCAATGCTGGAATTAATTTCTGCATTTTATTTAAACTGAAGGGGAAATGAGGAACTCTAGTGGAGAATGGAAATGGGATGTTGATTACTTTGATTAGTTCTCTAGTTCAACTAAGAAAGCATACTTTACCTGTGTCAGCAAATCCATTTCCCCCAATAAGTTGCTGAACATCTGATCTATATCTTCACATGTTTCCTCCATCTGGAAAACAAAAACTACACATGAGCAAAAAGATTGCAACAACAACAAAATATGCCCTCTTGTATGACTCCATTAAAACTAGATGTACACAACCCCCTCCTGATATTAAACTGTGGTTACATTAAGTCACACGTAAAGGACACTCACTGAAATCCACAGGACATAAAGACTTACATAAATTATATTGATGTTATTGTGTCTATTCTGACTAGAACTACAGTACAACCAACTCACTGAAATAAATTAGGTTATTTGCAAAAGCATTTGGGGACACCAGTACTTAACAAGAAGGAGCCTTCCTTCAAAGTGGATCACAAATCAGCTGGACTGTCCTTTTCACCTTCTGAATAAATATTCTCAGCCACTGAATCAGATTGTAATCAAATGAGTCCCAACAAAGAGGCTCATCAGATAAGCATACTGTATTTGGTTTGCTTTTGGTGCAGTTTGGTTGGCCCTATCTTCTGGATACCGTATGTGTTTTAAGTAAGAGTGATCCATTCTACTCCTTTTCCAAGCTGTTCCATTGCTTTCTGGTACCTAGTACAAAGGCTGCAATTTATTTGGGGCAATTAAGAGCACTCCTGTTTATCCCATTCTGCAGTCTGTGTGGCTGTTTAATCTGCTCTCAAATAGAGCTGTGGATAGTGTCAGTGACAACCCTGCCTTTTATGCACCCTGTGTGACAGTACACAAGACGGCAGGTAATCCCTCTCCACTATTTTTCTCTTCTCATAATTTTTAAAAATATTCTCCAAAGTGATGTGGTGCTATTTCATATATAAGGGAGCATCAATGCTAGATTAGTGAATTGTTGTAGCACTATGCCACTTACTAAACTAAACAAAAAAGGGGAAGTAACAGCACCCTGTGGAATGAAAGCCATAACAAAAGGTGGGAAAGGAGCACTGTCTGGATTCATTCATGTCTTCCATGTGACTGGAAGGACGACTCAACTGTGAGATAAAGTACATTCCATCAAATATAAGAGCCTTTTAAAATGAGACCTGAACTGCTCCATATTCCCCTGCCTAGTTGTGTTCTCTGTTCAGAATCTGAATCACTGGAGAATACCAGCCAGGCAGAAAAACAATATGCCGAGAACCTTTTATTCTTTCTTTTACTGATGTCTCAGAGTGAGTTATTGGGATTGTAGGTGCCAGTTAATGAGAAAAGGGGTGGACTGATCTGGGAAATTTGAAGCTATTCTGCTCTGTTAATCCCTGCCCTTGTGCTGTGCAGCTAGAAACTCAAAACTCTGCAACAGGAAGGAGGGGGAAAATTAGCAGAGCAGACTGGGCAAGGAGGTACAGCTCAGGTCACTGGGAAGGTGAGGAAAGAGCGGTGGGGCTGGCTGGACAAGGAGAGGCACAGCCATAGTGAGGCAAGGAGAGGAAGGAAAGAAAGCAGGGTGAGAAGGCTATCAGAATATCAGTGAGAGGTGGTTTTACATATACAGTACAGGGTGAATGAAGGCAACAAATGAGGCAAACATGGATGAACACACAAGATCCATGCCTCTCTCATTTGTCAGAATGGACCATTAGTATTTCTGAGGCTCTCCGTTGAAATGTGATGAAAGGAGTAAGAAAACAAACGTAAGACCCTCTTCTGTGTTGATTTTCATTTCTTCTAACCTGAACGTCCCACTTCTAATGGTTTCCCCTGCCTTCAGCACTGCTATGAGCTCTAAACACAGAGTGTTACATTGGCCCATCCAGGTTTTTTCCTATTAAAGGAAATAAACTCCCACATAGCCTCAGCACCTGCAAATCGGAATTGTTACTAACACAACGGACACAGGATGGGTCTATAAAGACTGCAAACAGGCCCCCCTGAAGCTGTCAGTTTCCAAACAAGACATGCCAGCTAAGATGCACCATCTAATAAATGGCACTTGAGAACATTTATTCTGAGGAATGCATGCCTTCAAATGAATGTCCACCTAGTTATAAATTGTAATAGATGAGCAGAATTATCTCTTAGCGGGCAAGGGATAGATAGCAAGAGCAGTAAAAGAACGCACAATGAACCACATGATTCTGAAACAGAGGCTGCATAAGTCATAGCCTTGTTACATGTGGAAAGGAGTCACTGTAGGGAAACATGGAAAACGAACAGAAGTGGTTAAACTTGCTCCTTAATTATTTCCCCTGGGGAAAACAGCCCCTTGTCCAACAAATTATCACTATTCAGTGTCATGCGATGCATTTTCACAGCATCAAGTCTAGATAACCAAGGCTGATTGATTCCCTATTAATCCCTTGTCCAACAAATTACAGTATCACTATTCAGTGTCATGAGATGCATTTTCACAGCATCAAAACCAGATAACCAAGGCTGATTGATTCCCTATTATGATTGCCATTCCATTAAATGAAATCTTAGTTGATTAATTATATCTCAATATATACAAGAATATATATTAAAAAAAAACAATTCTAAAGGAAATGTCATTATTTGTTTGTTTTTAAGGGGAATGTTAATTGCTTCTTTCATTATTACAGTGCTGTCAGTCTGGAGATTGATAGCAGTTTTTTAAAAATAACTTGTTGATATTCCTCCTTAAGAATTTGTGCATTTCAAAATTGTGGCCAGGTTAGCTTAAAAAGATACAAAATGACAAAGACCTAAAATAGAATCTTAACCATACCTTCACAGAACCCTCTCCCTTTGAATTCAATGGGATTTTAAAATAAGCATGATCAGTATTAGACTCTTGGAACAATTCCACTTGGCATGAAAAATATCCTACTTGATGAATAGTAGCCATTTACTTGACATTCCAACACTGTAGATTCCAATTAATTTGTCATAGCCAACAGCTTTTTAACACATTGTCCATCATGAAGAAAAATTAACCAGTTTCTGGATTTTAACAGACAGCTGGATTATCTGTTCTCTCTAGTACAAAAAAAATTACATAGCCTCAGTTGTGAGTTTACAGACAACTTCTACACACTGAGAAAGTTTGTGATTTTAGTCACTACAGCACACACCACAAATTTCTGAATGCCAGAAATGAATGACAGCTAAGCAGTAAGCTATGGGCAAACTAAACAGACCAGTGATCTGAGGAGCAAGGATAATTGCTAGAGAGACAAACAGTCAGGAAGTGTCCCCTCCCATCAGCCTACTGCTTAGTGAGATGCAGTTCATCAAACTGGTTAATATTTATAAGATAAAAATGAGGTTATCAGTCGAGCAGTTAAGAAGCTCGTGACATGAGCCTGCAGCCAGCTGAGGCAGAGTGGTCTGCCAGAATCTTACTGAATCACCCAAATTACCAGAAAAATGATGTGTCGCACAGTATTTAGAAAACTGGCTTGGAGATGGCCGAGATCCTTTCACCCATTCTGTCCCATTCACCCTCTTTGAAGAAGACTTAGATGATGAAGGTATAGGTATATCCAAATAGTACTGGAAATACGATTCAGCATGCTGGCAAATTCTGCTCATCAGCAACGTGGATGGGTTCCGGTAACAATTTGGAAAATTTACTTTTTTGGACTACAATTCCCAGAACCCCCTGCAAAAACCCATGTATTTATGCTAAAGGAGACTGGACTGTTTCCAGCTCAAAGGTTGCATACTCTCCTATGCCTGGATTTGCAAACACTCAGAGAGGCCATCATGGAGACATCATATATCATCACAACATAGCAGGCATGTACTGTATATTCTGTTTTTTTGGGCTGAGCAGTTCAGCCATATTTTGGAATTCTTCCAGAATTAAGACCATAGAACTTCCCCTGATCTCACAAGGCAGGCAGAAATCCACCGTGTACTAAAATAGACAACTCTTAAACAACCACAATACAGCCTGGTTGTTAATCAGGATGAGGTAAATAGCATGATTACTGAAATATTGGAAGTATAGTATGAGATATCAAAGAGCTAGTATGACAGTGTATTCGTGAAGGCTTTCACGGCCGGGATCTAATGGTTGTTGTGGGTTTTTCGGGCTCTTTGGCCGTGTTCTGAAGGCTGTTCTTCCTAACATTTCGATAGTCTCTGTGGCCGGCATCTTCAGAGGACAG